GTGGCACTGCTCAGGTGTTATGATAGCCCAGGTTGCTCTAATAGTGGCTTTTAGCTCTTCTGAATTGTTGGGTCTGGTGTATTGCATCTTCTTCTTCACAATACCCCATAGATTTTCTATGGGGTTAAGGTCAGGAGAGTTTGCTGGCCAATTAAGAACAGGGATACCATGGTCCTTCAACCAGGTACTGGTAGCTTTGGCACTGTGTGCAGGTGCCAAGTCCTGTTGGAAAATGAAATCTGCATCTCCAAAAAGTTGGTCAGCTGCAGGAAGCATGAAGTGCTCTAAAACTTCCTGGTATGTGGCTGCGTTGACCCTGGACCTCAGAAAACACAATGGACCAACACCAGCAGATGACATGGCACCCCAAACCATCACTGACTGTGGAAACTTTACACTGGACTTCAAGCAACGTGGATGAAGTGCCTCTCTTCTTTTCCTCCAGACTCTGGGACCTTGATTTCCAAAGGAAATGCAAAATTTACTTTCATCAGAGAACATGACTTTGGACCACTCACCAGCAGTCCAGTCCTGTTTCTCTTTAGCCCAGGCAAGACGCTTCTGACGCTGTCTGTGGTTCAAGAGTGGCTTGACACAAGGAATGCGACAGCAGAAACCCATGTCTTTCATACGTCTGTGTGTGGTGGTTCTTGAAGCACTCACTCCAGCTGCAGTCCACTCTTTGTGAATCTCCCCCACATTTTTGAATGGGTTTTGTTTCACAATCCTCTCCAGGGTGCGGTTATCTCTCTTGCTTGTACACTTTTTTCGACCACATCTTTTCCTTCCCTTCGCCTCTCTATTAATGTGCTTGGACACTGAGCTCTGTGAACAGCCAGCCTCTTTAGCGATGACCTTTTGTGTCTTGCCCTCCTTGTGCAAGGTGTCGATGGTCGTCTTTTGGACAACTGTCAAGTCAGCAGTCTTCCCCATGATTGTGTAGCCAATAGAACTAGACTGAAAGACCATTTAAAGGCTTTTGCAGGTGGTTTGAGTTAATTAGCTGATTAGAGTGTGGCACCAGGGGCCATCAATTTTGAACCTTTTCACAATATTCTAATTTTCTGATATGATGAATTTGAGATTTTCATTTGTTGTCATTTGTAATCATCAAAATTAAACAAAATAAACATCTGAAATATATGAGTTTGTATGTAATGTATGAATATAATATACAAGTTTCACTTTTTAAATGGAATTACTGAAATCAATCTACTTTTTCATGATATTCTAATTTTATGACCAGCACCTGTAGAGTCCTCATGGCCTCTTTAGTGTTAGCACTGGGGGGGCACATAAACAGCAGTAAAGCTAACCACACTGAACTCTCTGTGCAGATAGAAAGGTCTGCAGTTAACAGTCAGAAACTCAATATCTGGAGAGCAGAAGCTGGCGACCGATCTAGCATTTTTACACCAGCTGTTGTTGATGTAAACACAGAGCCCACCACCGCGACTGTTACTGCTGGGTTCCTTCTTTCTGTTGGTACAGCATAGCGTGAGCCCTCCAGGCTAATAGTATTGGTCGGTATTGCTGAATTTTGTGGAATTGTCGAGAGCTTTCTCTGGCCTGTGCTTTACATGCATGCATGGGTCCTTTCTGGATACCCCGGCTTCCTCCCAGGCTTCCTCCCACAGTCATAAAAAAACATGACTGCTAGGATGAATGGTGTCTCTAAATTGACCTCAGGAGTTTGTGCATTGTGCTGCAATGGACTGTTGACCTTTCCAGGATGTACTTTACCCTTCACCCATAGACGGCTGGAGATACTGTAGATATCAGTCCCTGTGAGCCGGATGGAGGAACGGTACATGGATGTTCTGTTTTTGATGTGATATATACATGCAAATAAGCTACTAAACTAAGCAATGGAATGTAAAATTAATAAAGTAGCAACATCTATCCCTATATCTCAAACTGTGACCCCTATGGTTTTATGAGTAATTTTGCTATGATCTCCATCTGATTTAGTTTAGATTAGAAGCTTTAGTTCTGTTGGTTTGGATCCATACAAAGGAGTCAAATCCATTTTCTTATAACCTTTTTTTTTTTTTTTTAAGTGCTGAAACCCTACACTGAACGTTTTATGTAAAGTGTCCATTGTAGTCCATTTAAATTTTTACTGCCTTCATTATGCCACTGCAATTTACTTTCCTGTGTTTTGTTTTTCTATATTCTGTTTATGTGCAGCACTTTAAAACGCCCGATTACTAAAATGTGCAATAGGCCTACAAATAATTAAGCTTTGCTGTACCTATTGTGAATGAGTGCTATACAAACATGGTTTTCATTTGGTGAAATCAGTTTTTTTGTTTTTTATGGCATACACCCCTGCATTGTCTAAACAAATGTTTTTCTTTGCATGGGTGTTAAAGGCTGATGTCAATCTTTAGCAGTTGTTGGGTGAGAGGCAGAGTAGCACCTATACAGGGAAACCTGGTTGGAAAAAAATCTACTGATTACTCAGGGTGATTCAGAGAGACTGATGCTGTGAAACTTTCTTAATCTTCTGACTGTTATCTCAGACTCTGTTTGTCACGTATTTAGAGCCTCTCTGCAGGCTTTAGCTGAACCAGGAAAATGTACAATTTTGGCAGGAAATTGCTACAGTAGGATTTGGATTGTATTTCAGGTTTATCTGAATTAATGGCAGCTGGTGTGAACTCAGGGAGACAGGAAGATGAATTAAAAAACATTTTTTTCAAAATAGTTTTTCAATTGAATGTTTCAGGCTAAAGCCCAATAAATGCCAATAAATATGTATCATGACTTGATTTTAACGATTGTATAGATACTGTATCTCTAAAGAGTATTTGGATGTATCAACACACCCAGAAGGAAATATTAGATACAGTTTACAGAGCAACCCTGAACTGAAGTGTTTGCCATCTAGTGTACAGTATAGCACCCAGCTGTCACAAAGGATGGGATGACTCGCTGTGTATGTATGTGTTTGCATGTCTCCATAGCAATAAAAGTGATATCGATGTATCATTGGCATCATCTTTATCTGCATAAAGAAACTACAACATGAAGGGGAGCTGCTGTTGGTTTTATTTAGCATTAAAAAAAATAAAAAAGAAGGGACCAGCTGCAAATGCAAAGTACAGCAATGACAGATTTACCAACTGGTTTGTTGGAGCAAATGAGGTCTCAAAGGAGATTAAACAGCTGTGAAATAAAACGTATAATAAGGAATTACTGAGCCAGTTTATTTCTCAGTTTTTAGACTAATTGGTGTAAAAACAAAGAGAAACACTTATCAGCAAACTATTTTATTAAATATTTAAGAAAAGAGAGATATAGACATGACTTTAGATTGAGTTGGGTGAAGTAATTTCTCTGCTACTGCTTTCAGGCTAAATGCAATTGTTGTGTGTTGGTGCTATGTTAACAGCATACTTTTTTATTACCGTAATTTGAGAAATGCAAAAGATTTAGTCATGTCCACATCTTGTTAAGCATTTAATTTTCCTTTCTTAAGCAATTTATTACATTTGGAATGTGACATCATGACTCCAGATATGCAAATAAACATTTCAACTAACACTCAGCCTAAAAGTCATGCAAGGAATGTCACATTTAAATTCCAACTAAACCTTTCTGATTCTTTCACTTTGGCTTCTGCCGCCACGCTGAGGTCTGTCTGCCCTCTCCCCCTAATCTCTGCTGGGGAATATTCTGATGAAATGAAGAAGGACTCTGCGGTTGTTTACGGAGCCACAAGGCTGTTTGTGATTGGCTGAAGGTCCAGCTCTGATATTTATAGTTGTCTCTCATGAGAACATTGTAACCCAAGCCTGAAAACATCATGGTTATTCTCGTGTCCTCTCACACCTGAACTCACCCGCTGGAAAAGACTGGCATGGCAAAAGTGACATGGCAAAAGTGACTGGCATGGCAAAAAGAGTTTCTAAATCTCTAGATTCATCTTACAGCGAGAAGAATAGTCCTATTCTGTCAAGGGACCAAAGAAAGTAGGGTTGGCAGCTGTTAGTAACTTAAGTTTCTCCTTAATTTGACATTTCAGCCATGCTCCAGTCCCTTCTCTAAATATATGAAGCTGTTTGACATTCTTCACATTCATGCCCACCATCAGTTTGACATTCAGGAGATTCCTGAACCCTGGCAAAAACGACAATCACCACAGGCTTTGGTAGACACACAAAGACACTCCTGAAATATACAACTATAAAAAGGGCTGCAATAAATAACAGTTTATTGGTGCTGGTGTGACAGTTCTATGAGAGCTAAACAGATATTAAATGGGCTTTCATTTGTCAACATAACAAAAATTGTATTCCAACAATGAAGAGGACTCTTGTTCTTAGGTTTTACTTCTTAACAATGTAAAGAAAATACTTTGTTTTGTTTTTTCTTTTACTCAAAGTCCCTCTTTAATTTGACAGTTGGTGTGGTTTTCCCAAATACATCTAAAGGATAGTACTGACTGAAACTATCTTTGAAATAAGGATAAATCAGCACCATGATTCTATCATAAGTCCTGTTTTTCAAACATGGATGTAGTATCATTAGAAACAGGTGACAGAGGTAATTCAATGGTTAGGCTGAGGTTTCAAGTCCAAAACTAGTAATGAAATAAAATGACATGGTGTTGTTTTCACAGCTGCCCAGTAATCTGAAATCAGAAGCCTATTTTACAAAAGCTGAACTCAGATATTGCAGGATTGAGGGCAGGCTTGACCTAGCATGAGGAGTGTGTCCAAGCTTCATTTGTCCACCAACACCCAACCAGGCTCCACAGGTGTGGCTTTGTCAAGCAAGGTGTAAGTAATCAACTGAATTCCTTATCTTGGTTAACGTAAACCAAGCCTGAATGACAATCTTTACTGATGTTCTTAGAAACAGAAGTTTGCAAGTTTTAGTTTACCCGTATTATCATCAGACTTTAAATCCAGTTGCTCTAACTCTTCTCCTTCTGTACTATTAGCCACCGTTAAAGGTTAGTAGTGAAAGTTTCCTAGTTAGTGTTCACTTACAGATTCCACAGCGTGTCCCTCCTTCAAACACAAAGCCATTTGGTACAGCTCCATAACGACGCAGCGCCGAAAGCAGCCAGTAACCGATAACAACCGGAGGCAGGCCTCTGCTGAGGACCAACTGGTTGTTGCAAAGATGAAGGTTGGCAGGACCACTATCCAGCTGGGTGCCTGGTTCCACACTGACAAGGAATCTGTGGACTAAGGAGACCAGAAGGAATTTAAAATAATAATAAAAAATAAAAATAAAAAAAAAACCTAAGAGTTTCACCTTGTCATCAAGTCACAAAAGGCTTTTGGTAACTAATGAGTCATTAACCTTTAAGAAAAGGACCTACATAAAACCTCAGATGGAGATGAAAACAGACGATGTCATACATTGGTTCCAGGAACATTTTCTCCTTTTTGTTTAAGAATAAAGGCAGGTTTCCTCCTGCAAATCCATAATATGGGTCTCCTATGTCACCACATAGGTAATCATTATCATGCTAGAGATCAACTTTATACCATGGTTACACTGTTTACATTGCTAACATTTCCCCCACCGTGCATTTGTCATAAAAATACCCTATTCTAAGAGCAACCCCTTTTATTGACATAGCTTATGCAGAGATAAACCTAATTAATGCTTACCTATGTCTCATAAAGACATTTTTACTTCGTGTTTAGATTCATCAAGGAACTAATATTGTTGGTACTGTTTATTTACTTTCCTTTTTTGAATTGCTTCATTCATTGCAACCACTCTTTATACCAGTAACACTTATTTTTACTGTATATTGTCCTTAAACAGGTCTTAAACTTTGATAATTTTATCTAATTTAGGCATACGAAATAAACATTTGTCAGAGGTTTTCCCTGGCATAAAAAATAATCAATGTAAGCCAAAAAACTACTAATTTAGCAGTTTGTTATAGTGATATCTGTTAACATGTCTTTCACAGCGTGTTTGTCTATCTGATCAATAGGTTGATCTGATAGGGTGTGTCATTATGCTAAAAGTCCAGTTTTGCTTTAAGCAGCCTTCTGCTCTTCCAGTTACGACTGAAGATGTTTCCCTTTTGTCATCCTGGCCCTGTTTATTATCTAGTATCTATATAAACTATTATATCTATTTAGGTTACGCCACATGTTCCCATTCTATTTCCCTGACACTGTGACTTACACAGTGAAGATGATTACTTTTATCAAAACAAAAAGGGATTTCAGCTTCAAACAATTTGACTCCTGAGGAGGATTAAATATAACATTATAATTTATATCTTATAACATGATACTATGGGTAGAAAAATCTATCTACATTTATTGTATGGAAATCTGCCATATTTAAAGAGCTAGGTATTGATGAGTTTCACAAACGTGTTCATGAATATTAAAGAATAATCCCAATGGTCTCAAACCTTTTAGTCTCACAGACAGACAGACAGACAGACAGACAGACAGACAGACAGACAGACAGACAGACAGAGACTTAGAATAACTTTGGGACTGTGTTATGAACATGAGGCTGAGCCACTGACCTTCGCCTAAGCTGTAGCGGATCCTGGCATCCCAGGCCAGCATTGCGTCTCTGTTTCTAAAGCCCAGGATGAGTGTTCTTGCCTGGCAGAGGATGGACAGAGTGTAGGGTACACCATCGTACCCAGGCCCTGGCTCTACACCACAAATCCCCTGAAAGCAGAAGTAAATGACACAAAAGATTCAGAGCAGGTTGACCACATCACCCTTGGAGTTGTGTGTGTTTTGGTGTGGTGGTGATATAATTGAAATCACAACCAATTATTCCCCTGGTGTCCTCAAACAGCTACGTTTCTAACATGATGTTGTCTTGGTAGAGGTTTTTGAGGACCAAATTCAGAGATGAGTTTGCAGATTTAATTCAAAGTTCCAGAGGCAACAGAGGCAAAAATCCAAAAGCAAAATACAGAAAAGCAAAAAACCAGGAGATGCCAGGGAGAAACACACACAGTGAGCCGAGTTACAACAAAGGAACAAGAAACCAGCAATGAGGAAGTGCAGAGGTGGTGTATATATGTGGAACAGAACAGAGAATGGGCTAATGAGCTGATGGGGAGCAGGTGTGGATAGAAGTAACTAGAAGGAAGCCAAGGGGAAAGGAAGCTGGCACAAGGGGGCAACAGAGAGTAACACGAAAACACAACACTGCCAGAAAGCATCTTCAAAGACACAAAATAAAAATAAAATTAAAAATAAACCTTAACTAAGGGCAGAACCCTGACAGATATAGATATTATATGTTTTTCTGAATATTTCCTCTCCCCCAGCATCTTGCGTAACCCTTATAAATAACAGCCAATGTAAAAAGACAGTAGGCTGATGGTTTAGGAAAGCATTAATCAGATAATCAGCCACGGGGCTTTTGATAACTCTGGAATCCAAACTCTGCCAGGACATCCAAGACATGAAAACCAGCCGTTATACACTACATAAATCTACCCTTCATGGTAGAGCAAAGAGAATGATGCTATTAAATGAAACCCAGAAGAAATTTGTTTTTAGCTTTGTCATAAGCCCTGAAGGAACAATCCAAATATGTCGAAGAAGATGCTCAGGAAGTCAAGTTTTAACCCTCCGACCTACATTAAAAATGTTATCCAAATTATTTTTTTGGAAAACAAAGGAAATCCTTCCTATGCTAGGCTTTGTGCTTTTCTTACGCAGGGTCAGGTGAGCTGTTTGAATTCAGCCCAACACTGGAAGACAATCTGTTAGAGGCTGCAGAAGATTAAAAACTGGGTTAAGGTTTACCTTAACAAACAGCCACAGCAATATTGAGTAGTTTTTATATATATATATATATATATATATATATATATATATATATATATATATATATATATATATATATATATATATATATATATATATATATATATATATATATATATATATATATATATATATATACTCAGGGGGTAGAATGTCCTAATCAAAGTCAGGGCCTAAATACAACTGATTTTGAAAATGAAAACCGTTAAAAATAGAAAGCTTGCTCCTTGGTTTAATGCAGAGCTGCGTACTTTGAAGCAAAATGCTAGGAAACTGGAGAGAAAATATCGCTCCACAGGCCTGCGAGAGTCCTTCCTAGTCTGGAAAAATGGTTTACTGCTGTATAAGAGGACCCTTTGTAAAGCAAGAGCAGCATACTTCTCCTCATTAATAGAGGAGAATAAGAATAATCCTAGATTTCTTTTTAATACAGTTGCCAAACTCACCCAGAGCCATAGCTCTGTTGAACCGTCCATTCCACCTGCTCTTAGCAGCAAGGATTTTATGGGATTCTTTATAAATAAGATTGATCTTATTAAAAATAAGATCATAAGCACTCCTCTATCCGCGATTGTACCTGAGGTAGTCATGGAATCTGAACCGGGTTTAGACTGCTTTGATCCAGTTGAACTCTCTGAATTAGCAAAATTATTGTCTTCATCTAAGCCTTCAACTTGTATGTTAGATCCAGTTCCAACCAGGTTATTTAAGGAGGTATTCCCTTTGATCTCCTCCTCCATTTTAGATGTGATTAATCTATCTCTGTTACAGGGATATGTACCTAAAGCTTTTAAGATTGCTGTAATTAAACCTCTGCTTAAGAAACCGTCTCTTGACCCAGATGACTTGGTCAATTATAGACCTATATCCAATCTTCCTTTCTTATCCAAAATTCTTGAGAAAGTAGTTGCCAAACAAGTTTGCGATCACTTCCACCATAATGAACTTTTTGAAGAGTTTCAGTCTGGCTTTAGAGCTCATCATAGCACTGAAACAGCTCTGGTGAAAGTCACTAATGATATTCTCATGGCCTCAGATAATGGACTTGTATCTGTGCTCGTCCTGTTGGATCTTAGTGCTGCATTTGATACAGTTGACCATAATATTCTTTTAGAAAGACTTGAATATTTTGTTGGAATTAAAGGAACAGCACTAGACTGGTTTAAATCTTATCTATCTGATCGAATTCAGTTTGTTCATGTTAATGATAGATCTTCAACACGCTCAAAGGTTACCTGTGGAGTACCACAGGGATCAGTGCTAGGACCAATTCTCTTTACTTTATACATGCTCCCAATTGGTAGAATTATTAGACAGCATGGGATTAATTTCCACTGTTATGCTGATGATACCCAGCTATATCTGTCTATAAATCCAGATGAAGCTAACCCATTACATAGATTACAGGCATGTCTTGAAGACATAAAAACCTGGATGACTCTTAACTTTCTGCTTCTGAATGCAGACAAAACAGAAGTTATAGTCTTTGGACCAGAGTCTCTGAAAAAGAAACTGATTAGCCAGTCACTACATTTGGATGGGATTAAACTGATTTCAGATAATAAAGTAAAAAATCTTGGTGTTATTTTTGATCAGGACCTGTCATTTAAATCCCATATCAAAGAGGTTTCTAGAATTTCCTTCTTTCATCTGAGGAACATTGCAAAAATTAGAAATATCCTGTCCAGGGGTGATGCTGAGAAACTAGTCCATGCATTTGTTACTTCAAGGCTGGACTATTGTAATTCTTTACTATCAGGAAGTCCACAAACTGTAGTTAAAAGCCTTCAGCTGATCCAAAATGCTGCAGCCAGAGTTCTAATGAAAATGAAAAAGAGAGATCATATCTCTCCTATCCTGGCTTCTCTTCATTGGCTTCCTGTTAAATCAAGAATAGAATTTAAAATCCTCCTTCTCACATATAAAGCCTTAAATGGCCAAGCTCCATCTTATATCAGAGATCTGATTGTTCCTTATGTTCCTTACAGAGCACTTCGCTCTCAATCTGCAGGTTTACTAGTGGTTCCTAGAATTTCTAAAAGTAGAATGGGAGGCAGATCTTTTAGTTATCAGGCTCCTCTCCTGTGGAACCAACTACCAGTTTTAGTCTGTGAGGCAGACACCCTGTCTACTTTTAAGGCTAGGCTTAAAACTTTCATTTTTGATAAAGCTTATAGTTAGGGTGGCTCAGGTTATCCTGAGCTATCTCTATAGTTATGCTGCTATAGGCTTAGACTTTTGGAGGACATAGGGACCCCCATTTCATCATTCTGCTTCATTCTCTCTCTGTTCTCCTATTCTGCAGAATCTGTTAGTTCAATCTCTAACCTTCTGCTCTCTCTGCTTTTCCTCAGAGTAGCTTTGCCTCGTCTGTTCCTGTTTGGCTGTGACGTCATCCTGGAAAAAAACATCAGCTGTGCTGCTTCTATCAACACCCTTGTTAATAGATGTTGGAGATCGGCCTGTTTTCCAGTGTGGTCCTGTTTCTCTGACCGTGACTGAGTGGATGTGCTCTCTTCGTCCTCTGGCATGGGAGCTGCCTTGGAGCTCGTCTGCCTGGCTGTGTGTTTCCTGGACGGGGCCGCCTTTTACAGCTGCTTTTTGTATCTCTGCTTCTGTCTCCTTGAACCCCAGTCGGCCTCGGCAGATGGCCGCTCACACTGAGCCTGGTTCTGCTGGAGGTTTCTTCCTGTTAAAAGGGAGTTTTTCCTCTCCACTGTCGCTACAAGCATGCTTAGTGTGGGGGATTGTATTTGAGTCAATGAGTCAATGCAATCAACTGGTTTTCCTTAGATAGAAAACTTTGTATCAATTTGACTGTATGATCTGGTTGAACTGTAAAGTGCCTTGAGATGACATGTGTTGTGAATTTGGCGCTATATAAATAAACTGAATTGAATTGAATTGAATTTACTGTGTTCAGGTTTTAAATGTATGTTCACAGAAGCTCTCTATCAAATCTGAAAGGATCTATCATGAAAAGGCTGTTTTGTTTTTTTGCAAATAGATGTTTAAAACCAGATGAAACACTCCAGATGTGAAACTGCAAATCTGGCTCTGTAAAAAATTGACCTAGAGGAACTGTAAACAGGTGCATGCCACGCTTCTTATGTTTCCACCTTTAAAATCATTGGAAATCTTGTTCCTCAATCAGATAAACACTGAGGAGCATTTAAATGTGACATAGGATCCTTCAAACTATTGTCAGCTTTATTATTTGGATAAAAGATAATCTAGGACTTTATTCCTCCTTCCCTACCTTGTGATAAACATATTTAGGGTATCTTAAATATGAATAATAAGCTCTAGTGTTTTTGCAATGAAATGAAAAAACAAAGGAAATCTTCAGCCAGAGATCAGATGGAGTACAGCTTTGACCTGATGCTGAACATACCTCCAGTGTTACATTGAGCCTCTCCTTGTGTCCGTTGCTTTTCCCTTTCTTCTTCTCTTTACACACAAGTAAAGTCAAGCAGTCTAAGGGAAACATAAAGAAACAAACTTAAAAAGGCCACAGATTTTTCTGATGAAATGCGATCATTTGGTTTGCTAAAAGCCGCCCATGCCTGTCTACCGATGTGTTGTGAAAAAAAACCCAAACTGCAGAACTGATCCACTTGCACAGCTGAAAATAAAAGTTGAGCTAGAAGTATGCTCACATGGCGTAATGCACACTGAGAGCAGTGGAGAGGAGCTCAGGTTTTTCCCACCACTCTTGCCAGTTTCTTCAAGGACACATGCAGGGCTACATTTCTATCTGTGTTGAACGATTTTCAGACAGTCCTTATAACATACCAAATTATTTTCTACTCAAAAGCAATTACAAGAATGTCCTACCTGGCTTTCACACTTTAGCCACGCTTATGATTTTTATCAAATTAAGTGATCAAAAATTTTTCAAAAACAATCTGAGTTCATTCCTGAGAAACACAAACAGTGTGTGAAACTGGAAGGACTGAAATCAAAATGGAAACCAATCAGTTTGTTGCTTAGTTTAGCTTGAATAACATCCTAAAGTGTTGAATCCCGAGGCATGCATCATGGGATCAATTGGCATGCTGTGCTTAATTTAACTGCAGAAAATTTGAACAGATCAGTGCTGGGTGATGAAGCAGATGAAAAGATCTGCGTTTGTGTGAAAATGCGTGGATTCTGCTGCATTGACATCAACTGTTAACTCCTACCTGCGACTGGGGAGGGCTTCTGAAGAACAACCCATCGAGTCTTCCACTGTGGAGAAGTTTGTTCAGAAACAATAAATCAATACGTTTTATCCTCTTGTGGGCTGGGGGGGAAGAAGACATTTCAAAGCAAAATAAATAAATAAACGTATGAAGACTTGAAGAATTAACCTTTTTTCCATCTCTAAACTTGACTTGACCCTCTGCGATAACTGTATCCGTCATCTTCTACCATGGTTTCGAGCAGCTGTGTGTGCATGTGTGTTTCTGTCCAAGAGAGAGTGAGAAAAAGAGGGGGCTACTTTTCAAAATAGCCTTTCCAGCCCAGGGTCCAGACAGCAGACACTTTCCCTCCCTCTCATTAAGACCCCGGGACAGGGAGAGTCAACAGCCCACTGCCAACTTGGTACAGTTGTCAATCCACTTAAAGTGCTTATTGTCTGCAATGTAGCTAATTTTATTAAAAGCGCATAACTTGCACACCTTTCACTTAACTCCTGTTGCTTTTTCTCAGCCGGTTGTAAGACAGGGATTTGTGTAGCCTAGCACTGATCTGCTGAGGCTCAGCTCTGTCTGTGTGAATAAATGTTAACTTGCTAAAGCTGGCAGGAGACATATAGACAGACAAATAAATATATTTACTGACCAGTAAAATGTTTTATTAAAACAGCATAACCATTCATTTTTACATTATATTGAATCAAGTGGTAAAGTTATAATGATTTTGGCACTGATGGCTGGCTTGATTGCTCATTTCGTTCACCTGTCTAGCTCTGCCCTGTTTCTCATCACTGCTCTTCTGATCCACCTGCTCCTGCTTTTACTTAAACTTCTTGCTCCCAGCCATCAGTGCCAGATTATTCTTGAGCCTTTTGATGAGTTTTTCTAGCGTAACTTGCTGGTTTCTGATTGTCTGATCCTGACCCGTTTTGTATTCAGACCTTTGAGCATGCCTGCCCCGTCTGATCTGTTTGCCTGACCTGCCTTCTGACATCTGCCGGATTCTTCTTGTGGACTGAACCTGGATCTGCCTTCTGACTTTGACCTGGATTAACTTGCCTTCCTTTGTCTGTTTGAGTCTGACCTCCTGCCAGTTCTGCAGCCTACTAGGCTTCCGCCTTTGGAACTCTCTGGCTGCGTCTTGTCAGCCGACCGGCTGGAATCAACCTCGCTCTCTGGGCACAGACTGAACTATTAAACCAGGTTAGTGACTACATGTTAATAATCATCCTCCATCAGGTTATCGTGGTCACTAACCTGTGCTTTCCTCCTATAGACGTTCCTGCCTTAGACGCCCTAGCCGCTGCTACCGCAGACACGCTTGTTTATATAAACACTTTTTAAGTTATTCCACTTTCTGCCTTACCTAAACTCTGGGTCCTCTTTTATGAGTCCTTACATAAGTTCAATATAGTCTATGTATGATCTTTTTGTTATTTTCACCACTTATCGCCTGTCCTTTAATTCAGATATAAGAAGATGGATACATTGGATGTTTCCTGTGACAAATTTTCTTTTAAAAGAGTGTTTTAGGGTTAAAATTGTTTCTTACCTTAACTTCTGAATAATCACTGCATTAAGCCATTTCATCAAAGGTTCTCCAGGTTCATCTGTAAAAAACACTGGACATAGTCTGTTTCTTTTTGTATTTAAGTCAGACGGCCCATGGTCATAATTTAACCTGTAAGCAAGAAAAAAACTGCACCTTTTTTTTTCTTGCCAACAGGTTCTGTCCAAATACAACCTCTACAAATATGTTAAAAGACAAGCTTAGTTAGTTCATTTCATCACCCCGTCTCGCCTTAATTAATTCCAATTCTATATTAGATTGTTATAAAAGCATTGGTCTGATCAATTAAAGAGAATCATATAATCTATATTACTGTTTATATGTTAAAACAACAAACTAGTTGTTACAGTTGTTTTAAAACTAGAAAATATGATGTAAAACATAAATAATAACATTACAATTTCAATTAATCTATTTATTTATTAGTTATTGCTTTGCTTTACAAAATCGCTTTTTTTTTATGTTGAATTAAACATGTCCAAAAAGCATCTGCATTCCAGATGCATGATCTGTTCATGTTATTTGCAAATAAATATTGTGACAAAATATCATAGAAAAAAAGTTTTTAAAAAATTAAAAACAAACCTTACTATTACAAACTGCACTTTAATTAAATGCTATTCTGCTGTATAGGAATCAGGGGATTTTACAATGTGAAGCATTTTATATGAGAGGATTTGAATAAATGAACAAAATGAACAGACAACACATTTTTGAACGACCATATTTGGACGACTGGAAAGAGCATATTACCTACAGTTATCTTCAATATTATTCACTATTAATGATCCATATGTTTATATTTCATGAATCGATTTTCCATAGGAATCAATAAAGTATATTTGAATTGAATTGAATAGCTTTTAGCTAGATTGCTAGCTCTTTTGAATGTTAAACTCCCATTTATCCCTTTATCTCTACAAATAAATAAATAAAGTTAACATTTTTAATATCGGGCAAAAATAAATGTTACTGTAGACCAAATAACACCAATAAAGGTTAGATGAAGCTAAACTTGCTAACTTAATTGTGTATTTGTTGCTTTTGAATTTAAAATGAGAATAAAACCATTAATGAGACAATTTTATTTCATTAAGTTGTGAAATAAACATCAGTCGCACCAAACTTTTAAGATATATATTTGTTATAATTATTATTATTTGCTGTCTCTTTGTGACCAAGTTAAAATCGGATCCATCCTCTTTTTACCATCTGGATCATACATTTTTTCATTCTAAATTTAATTAGAGTTGTTGATTTGAAAAGATAATAAACATTCTAATCAATTAGCAAATAAACATAATTTCTTGTAGAATAAATTAAAAAAGACCAACACTTTTAATGGCCTGATTAGCTTACAGTGAGAACAAACAATATGGCAGACATTATGGATAGAATAGAGATATTTTAGAAACTAAAGCTCATATAAACTGTTACAGATTAAGAGGCATTATGCGTGTAATAGGAGAGCCTCATATGTATGCGTCCACAAAATTAGAAATTTATTTTTAAAAAGACCCTATTAGAATATCTAACTTTAGGATTAAATAATATTGGAAGAAAATAAAGATCTGTTGCTTCAGGGTTTGAAACTTTTAACTCAAAGCTTTTTAGGAAGACCCAACATGAAAATCAATTCTTTGAAATGTCAAGACAAATTAACATTATAGTCTGTAGTCTGTTGTGTTCTTTCCAGAAAGTAAAGAGAAAAAAATGTTTGGGGAAAGGAGCTTCACAGTTATTAAGTATAGTGGTTAATATTAATTTCCACGGTTGAGCAGTAAGTTTTATCATACATGGAACTGGGACAAAGTTTTCGATCAATCTCATCCTGCCTCCTGTTAATTGCAGCTCTTAGTGGGGTGTCTGCAACCAGCTGCACAGCTGTCGTTTCTGAGCTCTTTGCTCCAGCTTTAAATCAAGGCAATATATCAGCTGTCAATGAGTCAGCCCATCAGTGTCACAGACACTCTGTGAGTCACCCCATCATCAGGCGCCTCAAACAAAAGTTGCTTTCAGTTTACTGCGGTCTATCTGCCCTCTCCTGTAACCCTGGTCCTGCTGCTTCTTGGCTTTCACCATGGAGGGAAGGTCTGAGGTCTGGTACACCGCCGACCTCATCCTGCTTCCACGAGACTGCAGCTCCAAGGCAACACCCTCCCACTTCCTATCCAGCTCTGAACGGTGGCGTGCCTGCGGGTCTCTGGACTCTCTGCGAGGCTTCCTGAAATCCTCTGGGTTGAACGTGCCTCCTATTTTGTCCACTTCCAAGGCCGGTCTTGGGCCTGCATGATTAGAGCGTGATGAGGGGGACTTGGATTTGCGACGAGAGCGAGGAGCAGGGCGTGGAGGAGGAGGAGAAGGTGGAGAGGAAAGGATGGGGTTGGAAGATGCTGTCCGTCTGCTTGGTGTTTTCAAACCAACTCCTCCACCTTTATCCCTGCCTCTCCACCCAGATCTGTCTTTACCTGGGAAGGAACAGGCTGATTTAGACGCAAACAAAAATGTAATGGAGGCTGCACTCACTGGCACTGCAAACACTAGCAAGCATCACAGAGGAACAGAGAAAAGCACATCAAACGTTTAACAGACATTTTATGAGACATTTAAGAGCAACACGGCTGTAATTATCTCCCCAATGTGCCTGTAACTATAGGAAGCAAAACAACTCAGAAACAATTACAACACGAAGAGCGAACAAGGAAGTAAGAAGCTAATTGGAATTGACAGATATTCCCAAACTGGTTCTTTGCTCCAACATCAAGGGTCAGATGCTGAGATTATTCCTGGGATTTAGTTTTGAACAAAATGCTGCCATCTACTGGCTGGTAGTGGGAAACTTAGTAAATCCTCCTTTATTTGCTTTGTATTTTTGCTAAAAGTTCATGTTTAATTATGTTTTTTTCTCTTTAAATCTGAGAATTATCAATGCACAAAGTTGAAATATAAACCATTTCTCTTAAAAGAGAAAAACAAATGAGAAAAATCACAAAACGGAAACATCTTTTAGAAGGATTCTGGAGCCCAGATTTTTGCAAAGTTACAACGTATGTTCCCTGTTCTAATGTTTTCACAGTGCAAATAAAGATTTTCTTTACTTTTAGGTGTTTAAACAAAGAAATGACAAGATGTAGAAGCCTTTATGTCAAGGCAATCGGAGAGAGAGATCAATATTACCAACAGAATAAATAACAGATTAATATTTGGAGAATCACTGATGATTAACAGAATGTTACTGCAGATGTTTTTTGAGTTTTAGTTGGTTCTTAAGTCACAAACAGAACAAACATACAACACAAACTGAGCATGAAAAACATTACTGTTGGCATATGTAATAATTTGGTTACTGTTACAGAAATGAGGCTTCTCAGGGTCAGTGTTGCCTGGTCGGGTGAAAGAGGTTAAAGTCTGAGGTGTTGCTTTGCTTTGATGCATGTCAGCTACTGTCCAAGGCAACACAGAGCAGGCCACCATGGTAACAGTTCAGTTGTTGCATGTTAGATGAATCAGAATACCCTCTGGTTGCAATTGAAAGATCCTACTCTAAGAAATCAATGTATTTTACAATGTGCTCCTCCCAATGAGTTAATTTCAGGATTGGGAAGATGTGCATAAGTACAACATAAAGATATAAGTAATCAATTATTATTTCAGAAGTAACATGAATATCCAGACCTCTTTCTGGTGCCAAAAACACACCTGGCTGACAGAAAAGAGGTCCAGTAAAATACTGTGGAATAAAACAGATTACACTGTTTCCACATTCACGTCTCCCACTGGGATTAATTGACTGAGAATCTGCCAGAAGCCTCCTACAGGGGGAATCTAATTTTTTGATTGTGTCGTTTGTTTGTGCTGCCATCATATTCATCTCAACTTAAGTAGTAAACCACAGACAAGAACATACTTTTTCCTGAATTTTAAAGCTTTATGTGCTTTTTAAAATCCATGATAAGAGTGTAAAAACAGATCAGATTTGGATTTAAAATTTAGATAAAGAGTATTTTAATTTTAGAAGTGGTAGAAATACTTCAAGAATAACTGAAAGCTCTTTTAAATGGCCTATATAATGCAAAAGTAACACTTTAGAGCTTTTAAAAATGTTATAAGGCTATTCGTTCCTAAAAATCACATCCAAAATATTATTTTTGCTTGATTATGCATATTAGTGTTGCACCGATACCGATACCAGTATTGGACGGGGCCCCGATACTGCCCTAATATTGTGGTATCGGTATCGGCGAGTACCAACAAATAGGGGACTGATAACATTTTGAGAGCCATAAGTTTATTCAACTATTGTCACCCACTCTTGGTAGGCAATAAAAAGTTCTACTGGATTCACTTTGTATTAGATTTTTTCCTGCTTCACAAAGGTAGGCAGCAGCTTGACAAAGCTATGATGGCAATTATTTTACATTATTATGATATCGGTATCGGCCGATACTGCACAGCCAGGTATCGGGTATCGGCGCAACACTAATGCATATCTGACTAATCCCTGTAATGTATGCTCTCCCTGTCCTGTAAAATATATGGATATTATTCTTTTAGGTAGAGCAGAGATTACCCACCTCTCCAGGAAGAACCTGCCTTGGCCATGGCACTCCTTCTAAAGTAACCATCACACCCACTTTCACTGATCACCTCCTAATCTGCACAGCGCTCACAATTTTTCTCTTATTAGCTACTTTCTCAACTAAGTTATAAAAATTTGTTTTGTTGGGTTTTTTTCACTGCCAGAGATCTTCCTAAACAGGAGCCTAATCAGCAGACGTGGTGTGAAACCATGCTGAAGTCATTATTGGGCAGAGATGGGAGATCATCTCTATATCATGTATTTCATCTTCCCAGCAACTGAGCCGGTTGAGTTGAATCTGCACAGGTTAATTCACTCTTCAGATTGGACTCACTTGCTTTAGTGGCTGATTAGAACAAATACAAGAAATGACTTGTTGACTCAAGATTCCTCATCTGATATAGGGTAAAATCATGACGTGAGTGTGATTTACTTCATAAAAGAGGCAAGAAATCTCTCTTTAGCTTGTTTTTTCTTTTCTTTCTAATTATGGACTAGTTAAAACAAAATTACAATGATTGTGGCACTGGTCCTTAAGGAAAAAATACAATGATGAGTTACGCAAACTGTATAGCTGAAGAATCAGAACGTCGTGTTATGCAAGCAGTGATCTCCTTCTGTAACCTTGAGTGTGTGAGAAGTGGAGACAGTCTTTAGGTTTGTGGCTGACAACCAGTCAGGCATGACGATGCTGGCCAAGCCGCACATGGAGCAGAGTCCCTGCATAGCTAATGAACCAGCTCTGAAAAGCTTTTGTAGCTAAAAAACAAAAGCTTGGTCCTAAACACACACAGACAAGAGGCAAGAAAGACAGGAGGGGAATATCAAAGAGGGACAACAGTAAAGTGATGAAGAAAAAGGTCAGAGGAAAAAACCCCAAGCACACATTACATCTTTTTAGCAATGATTATGGGGATGCATGATAAAACAGCGGTTAGCACTGTTGGCTCATGTGGAATAAGGGGTTCAAATCCAAACAGCTCACTCTAATGCAGCCCTGGCTGTACGCTCAGGGCTCCTATTCTGCTCAAAGGTTGGGTTTCAGTTCCAGTCTCAGATGTTTCGCTCCATCCAACATGTTTTTCCAGAATGGCCTAGTTTTCGCTCCATCGATCACCCCATCAACTCTGACAACCCTCCATGTCCCTGCTGATAATAAGCACTCCCACAGTATGGCACTGCCACTAACATTGGTTACATTGTCGGTATATGCTTCCAATATAAAAAAGGGGGGAAGGGAATATGAATAACTTTCAAAGCACTGTTCAGTGGGAACTCAGGAATTAAATAAAATCTATTTTTTTTTATTATTTATTTTAAATTCCCTGAAAATAATCCAGGTTTCTTAAAAGACTTCCAGAAAATCTGCTGTTGCTTCCAGTCATTAATTCTGCTGAATATCTAATTAGAAGACATTAACTGATTTGGAAAAAGTGTAAAATTAAAAAAAGATCTATGCAAAAAATGATAAATAAAAAATAGCATATAGAAAATTCATGTGGAAATCACTTATTTTTACACATATTTTGTTCCTTCTTTGGGCTGGGTGAGAGTTTACTCTCAACAAACATACAAATACTACATTTGTGTGGTTGATTATACTCAACAGACGTTAACACCTTATTTGAGCTTCATCTACCCACTTATCTCTCACAAAGGTAATAAATCAAGAGTCCATTTTGGTGCCTTTTTCTTGATTTCCAACATTTTTCTAAATGGTATGCCACAGCTGTGGATAGCAACTAAACTCTTCTTCCTCAGACATCTCTCTGTTCTGAGTGCAGGATACAAGCTTATTTTCTGATTCGGCCTGATAATTCAAATACTTAAAAACAAAAATCTGAGGAAATGTGGACACCATTAACTGAAAGTCTACATGGCAGCCACTGTGTTTTTATATCTGCCCTTAATGAGGAAGGTTCTGATGTGTACCTGATAGAAGGGGAACAAATCGCAGCTTTCCCTCTTCTCCATGCAATTAAAAATGTATCTGACTATATTTTACCTGTTTGCTCTGAGAAATTAACCCCTGGGAAGAAAAAGTCATATGGAAATTATATATACAGCTCTTGTTTACTTGTAAATGTCTAATTTAGTTTTTACACGGCATTAGCTTCACATGTCATATATCTACTGATTTTTCACATCAGCGTACAGAACCTCGTGCTTATCAATGAAATTTGTTGGTGGCCCTTTTAAAAAACTAACCTATGCAAGTTAAGAGGTTGGGATCCATCACTGATTGGGTCATGTGACTCAGAGCACTGCTTTGCAGCAGTCTGAGCCTACTAAGCTCAACATTAGGCCTCTAACCAGATTTAACAGCTAACTCATTAGGTATATTTTGTTTATCTGATGTAGCATTTAATGTTAAATGTTTCCTTGTCTTTATAAGTAACTCAATGATCTCTCAATCTGCTGAAAGTCGTCTGCTATCAGGTTCAAACATGGAGGGAGAATGTTTTCATTTATGATAGTGTAGTGTTACCGGTTGCTTTCACCAATCTCTATTTCAGCTGACTGACCGTTGGTAGTACACGTTGCTGAGAAATCACCAGCAACCATATTGGTACTCCCTAGTTAGACTGCTTGGATGATGATGTTCTCATTTTCAGGGGGGCTTAAGACTTTTAAAATAAAGATAAGGTCATCACTTTGACACATATGTGCTGTTTCACAGAATCTGTAGAATACTGTGATTTATGGTCAAAAACAGGCACATCACATTGAATATTCGGTATGAACTCTAAAAATCATGTAATTTAACATATTATACAAATCCATCACGACAAAATTAATGTGCAAATGGAGCATAATAATACCGTATCAATTAATTAACGTAAAGAATATTAAACACACACTATCTGATGTGCCAAAAGTGCTAAAGTGATTATGTACATGTAATATACATGTATTGATTACATTGTTATATTAATTACATTACAGGCATTTTTACGGTGTGACTCTGTGAAAGTTGGGAGTACTAAAATGGCGGCAGGTGACTCCAGGTTTTTCGGTTTATCAGCAACCCAGTGAATAATAGAGATCAGTGGTTGCTTTCAGGGGAGTTAAACCTGAAAGTTACAGGTCTAGTGCCCCTATTGGCTAAACTTTACACAATGTTGCTTTAAGTAAACAAACTACAGGCCATTTCACTAGTAGTTTTAGATGTGTAGTCAGGGCAACAGGAATTCAGTACTTTGTCATTCAAACATTGCAGACGGAGAACAGTGCCTTCCAGGACCTGCAAGGAAAAGTCTGAAAGAAGTTGCTATTGCTGAAAACTAAGAAAGGAAAGGGAGGTTGCTTACAAGGATACAGAGAGAGAGTAAAACATGGAAAACATTTATTTGAACTATTTACAGATAGCAGAGTAAACTCAGCTGAAATGATTTTCTAATTAGACAGCATGGCTGAAATATCTCTTAACAACGACTACAGGAGTCAGATGGGGAACTATGTACAAATTAATACTTTTAACTGGTGGTAACAATGAAAACAACATGATACATAAATTAGTGGATTCATACAGTAAAGACTCATGAGAACTGTGTCAAGATAGAAGCCTGCAGGATCTGAAACAGAGATGATAGAATAATGATAATAAAGAGCTGATTTTTACAGTCAGTGCACATTGTTTAAGATCACTTGATCAAGGAGCAGGATTACACGCATAAGCACTTGTAACACAGTCGAAAAGGCCTGAGGTAAGAGAACAATGATGGGAACGAATTTTACAAAAAGAATGTGTGTTAAGGTTGTGTAACCTATCCTTGCTTTAAAACTAGTATATTATTAGAGATTTCAGATCATGGCTGGTCTGAATATCAAAAATCTGGCCTTGTTTCTATGAGCGAATACATTAAACCCACACATTATCCTGTGATAACGCTCTTCAATGTGGAAGTTGTTACTGAGTCAAACATTGTCACTATCAGTGAGGTGCCTTAAAATACTCATATAAATGAAAGAAACTATCTGACAAGCAACCATTTTCTAAGACATGACAAGAAATGTCTGTAAATTCAAAATAGAAAGGGGGGAGTTTTCAGAAGATAACAGGAAGGCTAAACAGGGTCCTGCAAAGTTGCTCTGTTTTACTATTTAATCTTATCATACATGTTATTTTAGAGGAAGAGTTAACTGGAAGAACTGCAGTTTGTAAAAAACAAACACAAATACTGTGGTTTTAGTAATGATAGCCATGCTAACCGCTCATTTAAAATGCTAAACATAGTAGTTTATCTCTTGTTTTTAAAGATGGTAAATTCCTGTTTTACAGTGACCGTTGTCTCATAGATGGTGTTCTGTTAATATAGCTCATTTCAAGAGGTCTACAAAAAGATGCTTTCAATGTTGATTTTAAGTAAGTACTCTCAAAACAAAATTTGGAATTTGATAAAACAGGCAATGAAAACCAGCAACAATATCTTTAGTGATGCAACTCCATTACTTATTTCTAAACATATGGCAGTTTTATCACACGTAAAATGAAACACAGATAACAAGTAAATGTGTAAAGACTAACAGGAAAAATGACATTCAAAACAAATAATAGTCTTGTTTACAATTGGCTAAAGTGCATTATTAAGATTCTGTACATTTAGGGACTGGAGGAGGGAATTTGGCCCAGTTTGCAACCAAGCTTAACCTCAGTCTTATGTCTCAAAGCAAAAAGAAAATCCACAGCAAGCCCGTTGAAAAGTCCACACAGATACACACACAACACAAGGAAACTCCAGGGGCACAACTTGTCCATGCTCAATGCATCCATTTTTCCTCTCTTCTTTCTTTTGACACATTTACATTAGATTGCTGGCCGCAGAGTAGTGCACACCTTTCTTTATTACATTTAATCTTCTCTGTCTGAATGAAATCTCATCCCTATGTTATGGTATTAGGTTGTAACCTAAACCTTTTCCTATAGTGTGTTTTTTTTTCTAGACCAATCTAGGAAAATAGCTCCTAAATTTCTGTGAAGTGTCTCAATAGGATAAAAATATTTTAGAACTCAGCTCAAAGAATAGAAAGGAGGAGATTTAGATGCATTTCCTGCCACATGTGAGCAGTGACCACAGAGTTAACTTCAGGCTGACTCTAGTGGGTCTCTAGGCCCACTAGCAGTCAGGTGAAGGGAGGGGTGCATGTTCAGTATTTTAAAGAGTTCACACCGGCAAGGTACCTGAGCTAGGCCGACCGTCCTGTGCTTTGGGTAGAGGTCGGGGAAGGGGTTTACTGGACAGGGAGGAAGGGGTGATGTAGTTGAGGCTGGGGCTGTTAATATCCGCCTCACCCACAAGAGTAAGGTCAGACAGGGTGTCCTCCTCCAGCATTTGTATAGATTCCCCTCTATCTGGGCCCGGCGGGAGACCCTGCGCAGTGGTTCGGTTTGTCTGAATGGGGGATACGGTAGCAGGAAACGAAGGGTGCGGTCTGGCTTTCCTGCTTCCTCCATACTCCGCACACAGAGCTGAGTCCAAGCTCTGCGACTGATGGCTGGCACTCAGTAGGTGCAAGCCACTGCCTATTATTCCCCTGTGGTTGCCATTTCCCTTGTTACCCCGTTGGCTGCTGCTGCTGGGGAAGCCGGCGTTGCTGGTGTTACGGGAATTTGGGGTGGAGCACAGGGGCTCTGGGTTGCAGGAAGGAGGAGCTGTCGGGTTGTTTGGTGACAGTCGCAGGAAGTCCGGCAGCTGCAGGTCACTCTTGTTTAGCAGGCCTCGCTGGTCGTCGGCTCGGTTGCTCTGAGCTTTGGATATGAGGTCGAAGAATTCTGCATACGCGGAGCACGGCATGCACCAAAAACAAACACAATTACATGAACAGGTCCACACACAACAGAATAAACAGTCAGAGCATCTGAAAAAAGGTTTGTTTTTGTTGCAGAAACATGCATGTTTTAATCTTTTAGACAAGTCAAAGCTACGTTTAGTATAAGCAAAGAGTGAACTGTGCTAGGTGTAGCTAGCTAGCTTTAAAGCATTGGGTGTTTGTGCAGTCCTGCAGGCAGGCTGAAGGGTTAGTCTGATCACAGCAACACAGAGAAACAAGAGAAACAGGGAGGTTGTTCAGTTTTTACCTTTAGCTTCGTCTATATTAATCTTTTTCTGCTTTCTTTTCCCCGGAGCCTTATGCAGAGAGACAGAGTGGTTGGGTAAGGGCTGGCCGCTTGGGTCAGGGCCGGGCCCCGCCTTGACATTTTCCCCATGGGGGTGGGCTGAACCGCCTTTCCTCGATGGCCTGTTGTCCCCCTGGGGGCCACACGAAGAGCGGAGTTGGGCATTAGCCCGGATGAGTCACAGTGGTGCACGTATGGGATGAAGCAATGACATGTGGGAACCAGTGGTGCTGATAGTGAACAGGGTGATAAAACTGGACAATTTGATGGTGAGTGTGCGACACCCACTTCACTGATTGGGGATGATTATAAGGAATGTCAACTAACTTTTTAGATGAAATAAACCCTGATTTTAGAGACGCCACCTGGCCAAAAAGGTTAAACACTTCTAGCATGTATGTTGAATATTAGGTGAGGCATTGTTTATGCCTTGAGAGCATCTAGAAGATTTTCCAAAAAAACGGACTCCAAGTTCATAGACAGAATCTATATCAAACCTTGTCGACTGCAGGAAGCATCATATCAAATTATTAATGGGTCCCCCTGAGAGCAGCTCAGAGTCTGGAATACTAAAAATGAGCTCAGGTGTTTTTAACTGAATTCAGAGGAACCACAAAGATTTAAGATGCTACAGCAATTAAGCTTTAGAGGCATGGTAAAGTTATTTCTGGCTGCAGAGCAATGTTAAGCCGGGCTTACCACTCACACTGTACGACTAAACCCTACGGTTTAGTCGTAAAGTGTGAGTTCACAGCTCACAATATTTTTTCGACCCGACGCTCTGATGCGATCTACCTGCTCACACGTTATGACTAAAAACTAAAAACCTCACGATTCCTAATCAGGAGGTGGTCGTGAGAGGCTGATCGCCCCTCGTTACCCCCTGTACACTAAATGACACACAGGCTGAAAGTCGGCCCGATAGGAAATTCTCGCACGACTGGAAAATCGCCCCGGAAATCGCAGTGTTCACCCGGCTTTAGAGGGAGCAAAGGACTTTAACTAGATAGGAACACTGACTACAGCAGAACAAAGACATTCTGTTCTAAGCTCCTTGAAATGGACTGGATTTGGAGATGCTGGCAGCCTTTTGAAGAGGTAGAGTAAGTTAAATATCCGCCATTGATATAACATTTAAGCATAAAGGACATTTCTTTCAGTTAGGATTTTTTTTTTTATGTTTTATCAATTCTGTTCAAAAGTTCTTCTGTGTACCTGGCCATGAACACAATACACACAAATGGATTGTATTTTTTTTTATAATTACCAAATACTATCAGTATTATTAAAAAGAAGAAGAATACATAGGGGTTTACATTCTTTAGTGAATGGCTTTTAATGTTCAGAGCAGCAATTTAAGTAAAAAAAAAAAGATTTAAAACTGGTTTTGCCAAATAAATGAAAAATGTATGTAAAGAAGAATGTTTTTTAGCTAAAAATAATTCCATGTTAAAACTTTTTAAGATGAATATCAAACTGCCTTAATCCTTCAGATTCACAGGAATACACCCCATGTCTTTGTGACTGATCTTTTTTTTATCAAGATTTAGATGGTGAGTAATCAACGGACCAGCTATGATGTTTTTTAAATGGAGGCAAAGTAAAAAATAAAATAAAAAATAAAAAAAATGCAACACCCAAATCCTATATGGATATTTATGGTAGCAAATACTGATCTAGCATGTCTAAATTGACTTTACTTTTAGAGAGATAATTTGATATAAACAAAAAAAAAAACCAAGCAGAGAGCAGGAGGCTTTTTTCCAGCAATGTTTCATCCTCTAGGCCACACAATGAAATATAAAAATCCATAGTTAAAAAAAAGCATTGGCTAGCTCTTTAACCAGGTTTCTTAAGTTCTATTTTGAGTTATTGGTTTGCTTAAGGGAAAACTATAATCTAATAGTTTGATGGATTAAAAATGTTTTTTTTTTCAGTATAAGAAAATAATCAGGACTTAATGCCTCTGCCTTTGCCAGGTGAAGGGTTTTATCAAAGTGTTACCACTGCTTTTGGCCAGGCGGCGAATGTCAAATAAATTGAGTGAAACGTGGACTTGGATATTCCATTTAGACAGCGTCAAAGTCAGCTTTGTGTGCTCGGCATCATCAACTTGAAAGCACAAGGCAAAACACCAGAGGGACAAAACTATCCACTACTTAAAGCTGCACTACTGCAACTAATGGGGAGGGGGACAAATCTGTTTCCCAAAACAGATCCTTGGTATTTACCAAGAGGATAATCAGTCTATTAGCTGTGATATAAACCCCCACAGCTGAAAGAACATCTATAAAGCAAACTATAAAGCTCCTCCACCACCACTATGATAGAATGCTGAAGATCCTGAGATCGCCACCTTTGGCAAACGATGGATGAGCCTGAAAAGGGGGATGTTGTTACAGCAGAAAGGGTAAACCAGAGAGGAAAGTTGATGATGCATTCGGCCACAGGCAGACCACATTAATGGAATATTAGGGAATCTTAACAGAGTGACATGGCTCTTTTTGCACCACAGCAAACACATAACGCACCTGTGCCCATGTTCGACATACAGCAAACAGACATGGGTGACTGAGGACAGCAAGGGGGGCACTTAGTATAGCGTGACATTATCAACCAGGCAGTGGAGACATTCAGGGGGTTACAGGACATTCAAGAATGAAAGGAAAAGACCGGTTGCAGGTGATCTTACTGTTGCTGACTGGTTCCTGCTTGTAGAGGCTGGTAGGTGACTCTGAGCTGCTTTTAGTTTGTCTGTGAGGAGGAAAATAAAACATTTACTAATTTAAAAACCAAGGAATAGGAGACATAACGTGTGTATCTGTCTTTCTTTTTTTACCTTTACCCAAAGTGTTTTCCTCTGTGTCTAATACCACTCGCAAACCATCCAGGTTGGAAATAGGAAGCCCAAGATCTAAAGGCTCTGACTCTCCACTCTGGATCACAAGGAAAGATTAAAGAAGATGATGCTGGCTTTAGCAGAGCCTTTTGGCTAGTTTATTACATTATAACCACAGACTTTACTGTATTTCATTAAGATTTTATGCGATGGAGCAAAACAAGTGCAGAGTTTTATATAACAGAGGCAGAAAAAGGATGCATGGGGGGGCGTGCAAAATCCAGGATTATTCACCTTATTATATATCGTTGTGAATATTTTTTGCTGTATTTTTGTTTTCAGTTTTTTTTATCAATATACCAGATAAAATGTTCTACATGAATGCATCATTGCTGCCACCCTGTGTCATCGTTCTACTGCTGGTGAAGCCACATGGGAATAACAAATCACCTTTTAGGGGCGGCCAATGACTGGCTAAAAATAAAAAAAAACTGTAATCATTCCTTCTTATACTGCAGAACCAACTCTTGCTTTAATTACAGTTGGCTATTGAATGTCTGTAGGTATTTTGCACATCTAGAGGCTAAGATTTAAGTTTTTCAAAATAGCTCAAGCTCAGTTGAGAGATTTTTGGGTTGTAGGTTAGGGTTGCATTGCTTGAAGGTAAACCTCCAACCCTATCTCACAACTTTTTGTTTTATGCCCTGCAAGAGAAAAGCCCCATAGCATGATGTTGCCACCACCGTGTTTCATGATGTTTCATGGCATATAAGCCAAAAAGTTCAGTGTTTATTTTATTTATCAAAAAGCAGCCTCTTCCACATTGTTCCTGTTTCTTAGAGTTGTTTTTCTTCTTGCCTTCTTCCATAAGTATCTGATTTTTTGAGTTGCTACTGAGCTACACTTTGATCACCGCTATTCTCGACCTGTAAGCCATGCTCCTTGATCTTCGCGATGCTGCTTGTTGACCTATGCTCTCTAACAAAACTCTAAAGTCTTCACAGAACAGCTGCATTCATACTGACATTAAACCCCGCTTTGCCACAATAGGATGCACTGCATTTCTTAAAGATATTATTGTAATGGGGATGGAGCAGAAATACAGGCCAATGTATATTTTTAAAAACTCATGTCTCTATTTTGAACTACTTTTGGTTTATCTATTACTTAAAATAAAACACAGACTGAATTTTAAGGTTAATGTTACCACTGGGACACTATACTTACTATACGTGCCACCAAGTCAGAGAGGTGCAGGCCATATTTGGCAACAACGGGCCTCAGTACTTCAGTCACTGGTTTAGTTGGCTTAGCTTTTAGGCCCACAGAGCGGTTGATGGGCACCAAGTCGAGTCTGAGAGAGAAGAAAAACAGGATAGATAAGATTGGTGTGTGAGCCGGGCTCTGTAGTGACAACTATTCCTGCTGTCGGTGTGTTTTTATACCTGAAGAGGGTTCGTTTTTCTAGTCTAAGGTCACGGGAGCACAGGGTCATAGAGTCTTGGTCCAAAACAAGAGGCTGAGACAAAAGACAGTCACTGAATTGAGATAGCTGCTCAATCCTTGCTTATAAATATCTGTGTAATGGTAGAAATTTTAACAACTTCATCTTAAGGTGGAAAATAAAACACATAGAACACAATATTTCCAAAAATGAGTCGACCAACCAAAGTTTTGCGCTCAACAATTATGGGCTGACATATAAAACAACTGGCTCCTTGACACACTGTTTAATTAAAACATTGAGAAATTAATGACAGTATTGAGTAATCTATGAAAACATAAACTCAAACACATATAAAGGTTTACCTTCTCTCCGCCTACTAGGAAGAGATCTATGGCTGCCAGGTTGATGCAGAGTTTCTCACAAAGGCCCTGCAGCAGGTCTCTGATGGACATGCCAGACTGAAGCTCCACCGGGCAACAAGAGCCGTCCGGCAAGCTGATGTTACACTGCCTTAAGGGGGCGCTGCTTCCTCCTCGTTCTGATAATGCACCACGGGAAATATCTTGCTAAAAAAGAAAAGAGATAAAGATTTGGTTATTTATCCCTCATCACCAGCTTTACCCTTAAACCTGTGACCCGGTATAAGGATTAACAAAATACTTGTAAGCACAAAAAGAGAGAGTACAAAGAAAGTGTAACTAAGATGCACCACTGAGTCATTTAAATGAGTGTTTCCCTCACATTGATCCTGTCTGAATAGGTTGGGATGCAGAAATCCTGAAAACTGAAGTGCAAACAAATTAACATAATATATAACCAAATAAATCTGAAAGTCTAACTTTATCCTCTCCTGACATCTTAACTCTCTGTGTAATGAGAAAAATACTAAATGATTTGCTGAAAAGGGTGCCCTGCAGAGGACAGTGAGGGGAACGGGGGAGGCAGTCTGAGGTTCAATTCCAGCTGCTGCAGCAACTGACTCTCTCTCAGTATGAGAAACTCCTCACATCCTCTTCATCCAGTTTACCGTACCAAAAGCAGAATCACCAGACTGCTACAACTTTCTGCCTCAAGCTGTGAAAAACACTGAACCGTGGTTAAGGTTGAGCACTTTCCATTAGAGCCATTAGTCACATGTTGCGTCTGTTTGTTTTTATCTTGTTTTTTTATATCATTTTTCTATTCTAATTTAAGACAGTACTATGCTATAGATCCCAGAGAAACACCGTCTCACCCTGTTTGCCATTCAGTACACAATGAAATGTCAACTGATTTAACGAGGCATACAAAAGGAACAGCAGTCTGACAGTAAATCTGTTTTTATGGGAATAGAACTCAAAATGTTACAGAAAATTCGAGAAATGTCTAAAAGTGGAGCTATTCCCATAAATCTTATGACGACCAAAACTGTCTGATTAACAGCTTGACCCGCGGCTCAGAAACCTTAAAAACTGATCTTCAAGCATTCAGTGAATGCAACAATCAGACGCTACCAGACAACAGTGAAAAATATATTGTTAGCTGTTGTTTCCTCCTCAAAAAAACTCAAGTGAAGTTTTTTTTATTATAAAGTCAATTTCAAGCAACAGTCGTAGACTTATGGAAGGACATAGACAACTAAAGAAAGCAATACACATATCAAAGCAGGGATAAAAACAAATATATATGCAACAAAATGCAGAAGAAAAATCCCATATAATCCAAAGTAAATGAAAAACAAATAATATGAAGCAAATGGATACAGATGTTCCATATCATCAAACACATGTCCAAATAAAGGCTGAATCCGGCCTGCCACAGCAATCTGTCCACACATCAACAGCCAAAAAAATAGACATATAATTTCATAACATAGAGGCATAATTTCTCTTAAAGCTAACATAGTGGCTTCAACTGTGACGCAAATGGGAGTAAAGTTATAGGACCATCCATTTGCTTTTTGTAGAAGAAACTATGAAATCAAGCATTTCTTTTACACGGCAGCAATCAGCCCTTTAGTTCAAAAATATTGGTACTAGGGCTGCAACTAACGATTATATTTGCAAATCGATTAATCTTTCAATTATTTTTTTGATTAATCGATTCATAATAAATAAAGTGTAACTAAATTATTTCTAATTGAGGATTTCTGGATAGAGCATATTGACAGAGGAAAAAGATTTTTAGCTTAAATGCAAAATATTTATATACATTTTTTTTTTTTACCTTTTTTGATATAACTGCTCTGAGTGGGTCTTTGTCAGCTAAAGGTCTGTGTTAGTCTCTATACTCCAGTTAACGATTACTTGATTACTAAATTAGTTGATGATTATTTCAATAATGATCAATCAATTAATTGTTTCAGCCTTATTGGTACTCAATAAAACTAAAATGATTTCCACACCTCTGGCCGAATATGTACCGTGTTTTCTGCACTATAAGGCGCAATGAAAAGCCTCTAATTTTCTCAAAAAGTCAAGATGTTTTAGTATAGATTTGGTAAATTACAAAGCCACAGCATTTGGAGCATTACAGCCACCGTAGTCAGAAGTGTGGTGGAGTAATACATACTGTGCTTCACTATAATATTACAGCATGTGGAAAAGGACAGTAAAAGTTTGAAAACAGACATATAGGCCATTAACAAAAGACATATTGGTAACAGGAGAGCAAATCTCTGGTTTAGTAATGTGTCATGACGTTGTGGTCTGTGCCTCTCTGAATATCAGATCAAACTGTAGTTTTATATAATGTACTTTTTCTAAAGAGAACATTAGATAGAAAGAGTCTGGTTTTGAAGCAGCTTTTAAAAGAAGTTTATAATTTGAACTGTAGATCTGATCTGTAAAACTCATCTCATAGCAGCACTACCTACGCTTACATATCTTTATTTATCTTTTTCAGCAGAATTAACTAAACCTTTTGAGTAACATTTTTCTCTTGCCATTAAGTTAATTTCTCTTTTAGAATTTATCTGGCATGAACTTTTATGTTTCTTTTTCAACTTCCCTTTTTAATAAGAACACTGATATTAAAGCTGCTCCATGCAAAGAAAAAAAAGAAGTTTCCATGAACCAATTATTAGCAGAGCTGATTAGATCCTGATGACTCCCATCAGACTGACCTCATTCTTCCCTGAACCTGACGTCCCCAGTTCCAGACTGGCCCCTGAGGACAGAGAACCCTGGGACTCCCGACGGCCGTTGGTGCCAGGAAAATCTGAGAGGGAGCCAACACGCGAAAAAGAAATAAATCGATTGAAAGATAAGAAGCATCATGAGCAAATGCATGTCGAATATACAAAGGTCTCCTGACAAGAATCCAAAGAAATCCTTCATCAGATAAGATCTTGGGGACACCACAGATGAACAGCAACATCAAACCTACAAGTAAATGCCTGATAATCTAGCTTCTATTTCATGACAGATGTTAACATTTCCTGACTTCCATTGCATGCTTTTTTCTTATTGTAACCAAACTCTCCAGCAGACAGGACTTATATAATAAGGGAAAACATGAACTTACTGTAATTAAAATCAGCCAGCTCTCGTTTCTTCGGTCCTTTGCCAAAGCTCCTGTTTCTGGACCACGAGAAAAACATGCCCTTCCTTCTGTCTCCTGAATCCTCCCGACTGTCCTCATTCAAAGATCGACCTGATTTGGTCTTCTTGTCCTCCTGCAAAACACAATGATGCATCTGTAAAACTGAACATTGTACACTGTTTTCACACGTAAACATCCAGGATGCTCTTAATTGCCCTTAAATTAAAGCTGCTTGTGTAGCAGCAGGCTTTCTGCTGCATTACCTTCTTGGGGGTGGAGAGGTTGGAGCGGTCGGAGCCGGTGGTGCTGTGCTTTGACGTCGGACTGCTTGGGATGTGATAGGGGTCAGGCAGCGGTCTACCCTCCACCTCAGCCAGCATGCATTCCTGGTACAGCCGAGACTTGAGGAATCTTGTGTAGCTGTCAAATTTCATCAGGTTGAAGATCTAAAGGAGTGAGGGAGGAAAGACTCAAGCAGGTGAGAAAAGGTGTATGAGGAATGGTGGGTTGATGAATAAAAAAAGCTATGCTTAAGCCAGAAAAGACAAATTCAATCAAAGTGAGAAACAAACCCAACACAGACTGTTAGTCCATTATTTTGAAATGGAAGTCTAAAAACTGAGGCAAAGTCAAACCAAATCCAGAAAGCGGTTCTTGGAATGCTTTAAAAACAATATATTTAAAGACAGGTCTTGAGCCTAATCCTAATCTTTATAGGAAACTCTATATTTGGACAAGCTGTGCAAACACAAACAGCTGAACTGAAAAACAATTTACTCTAAATAAGTCATTTTTCTTAAAATATGTGCATTTTTTCTTGAATTGAGGAGGTAAGTGAGAGACTTTGCCATTTTAACATTTCAAATAAGAAAAAACAATTACATTGTATAATTTCAAGTGCATATTATCTAATTTTCTTATTTTAAGAGTAAACAATCATTCCATTGGCAGATCATTTTATTTACCTGCTCAAATTAAGGGTAAATACACTTCATTCAAGAAATTTTTACTTATTCCTAGATCGTTTTTGCAGTGTGGGGACATCTTAAAGTAAAACGTGGGAATGATATGTTTTACTTTATATCATTCTGTTAATGCACTTAAGGGTAAATCCACTTAATCTAAGGATCTTTTACTTATGCCTTATACTTTTGAGATGGTTAAAGCAGGAATAGGTTTTACAACAAACATAACAGCTTTGAACATGTGGTGCAGTTCCTGCATCTTCCAAAGACATGGCTCCTTATCAGCGCCGCCAGGCGAGCGAGATAAGGAGAGCATTTCTCTGGAGGAGTTACAGAGATTCACAACTTAACTAGGAGAATATATCCATATTACAACCATGCAGGCAATGTTCATGGACGAGTGACAATAGTTCAAATTCAGTGATAAAGAGTGACATAAAATGTCAGAATTCTGTCACAAGGGAAGTTATCAGCCAACATGCTGGGGAAGATTCTCAGTCATCCAGGTCATAGTCATTCCTAAAAAAATTACTGGTTCAAGCCAAAGCAAGGCTTTGTTTTGGCTGCTCTATAAGGCTTGGAACTCAACGCTAATTCTGATATTTTGCATTGGAAAACCTTCTGTGATGGGAAGCGAAACATCTTCAAACTTGGAAACAAAGTCCAGTGGTTTGTTTTTTAACTTTTTTGGAATATCAGCCAACAGAAAATATAAATAAATAAATAAATAAATACACAGTCTGAACACTAATGCTGCATTTTACCATTAAAACACCATCATTAAGCCTGGTTTATACTCAGAAACCAGATTGTGGCTTGCAATGAATGCAAATGTGCCTCCGCCCTGCCACAGACACTCTGATGCACCTCTTCAAAACTGTAGGTGACTGCAGACAGTGCCGCTCACAGGAGGTATCTGATTGGTCAAATCTACATCGGCTCTATACTATGTGTATTTCCTATTTACCTATTTTCCTATTTTTACCCAGTTGTTTTGTTTGTATGATCGTCACTGTGGAAAACGACTTGTGAAGTTGGAGCAGCTAGAAGAGCGAGGTGCGTGAAAACGCTGGGACCATTTTTCCACCTGGAGCCCTCTTGTCCCTCCGTTGTCGCACAGACTTGCCCCCACTTCCTCACTGCCTCGGCCGTATCTAGACCCACAGCTAGTTCATGATTGTCCCTCTTGCGTTGTGCCGTGGAATAACATAGCGCAGACCACGCTTCAAAATTGGGCATAAATCAAAAATATCTGCAACAAGCTCACTGCGACACACTGCTGCAGGAAAATAGCCAGCCCTTAACTGTGAAACATGTTAGGATGATATTTTTAGGAAGAAACAAAGAAGCTGGTCAGAGTTGATGGGAAGATGGATGGAGCCAAATAAGGGGAACGTTCTGTGGAAAAAGCTGCATGAGGCATCTGGCTAGAAATGTGACTAAATCTTTCAAAACTCATTTTAACCAAAAAGGTCACATGATATCCAAAGCCATGTATCAAGAACCTTCCACTTTACAACCATGCCCTCTTTTACGTATATAACCCCCCTCCCCCGTGAGCCCTGAAATACAGCAGAAAAGCTCCCTTACACTTTAATGTGTGAGTGTTTATTGGACGGATTATGTGTGGATATCGAACGGAGAAAAAAAAAAAAGAAAAGGCATGATAGTAGGGATATCCTTCAGGCCTTGTGACTCCCGTATCAGAGTTTGAACATCTGAGCTTTGCAGCTGAAATCAACAGAGCTTTTCAGACACTTTGCTCCATCAACAACATGCATGTGTAAGAGGCCATTCAGGCTGTTGTTGCTCGACAGCGCGCAAAGATGAATGACTGGCCTTGTGTGGTGTGGGCACAATTTTCAAAAGAGTTCTCTTTTCAGTAACTTAAGAATAATAAAAACAGATTTATCTAGAAGGGGCGGAGGTAGAAGCCTTTATAAAAATGCGGCTACCTGTAGCTGCTGTTCCTTGAACATGTCGGGTTTCGGCGCGTTGAGGATGTCATCAGCAAGCTGGGCTTGGCTGTCGATGTTGACGGGTGTCGTGGCTTTACTGGAAAGGAAGCTGTTGTAGATCTCTCTGGCGCGCTGAGAGAGCTGATGCAAAGGGGAAGACAAATTCATTAAAGATGAAGGCCTAGAGAGGACTTCCATTATAACGGAAGGAGAGATTTAAACAAATGTCTGAATGTCCGGGTGATACGGTTTTACCTGCTTGTTGTCATTCTCAGGAACATGGCTGAAGAACTCGCAGGCCTGCCAGAACAGAATGTTCTCCTCACTAAACTCCTTCTTTAGGAACTCCTACAGAAAATACATTAAACGTGGGTTAAAAATGCCAAATCTTCACGTTTATATAGGTGACTGCAACAGTTTCATGGTTTAAATGTAAGAACAGAAGGAAAATGTATTTGACTTCAATGCAGCAAATACTTTTGCATAACTTTCCAAGTGTATAAAACTGTGCTGTAACACCTCAATAGTGCAACGTATTTACAGAGTGTCTTCTTTTCTTGCTGGAGCAGAATATCTTATAAAAAACGTAGATAATCGAAAAACTAATGTGAGTATATTTCAGGAAAATAAAGCATATTTTAGGAAATAACTGTTTAACAAAGCTTAGGCACTTTAAACATTTCTATAAAACAAGGAAGCAGAGAGGGGACAGCTGTTTATATTGTCAGCAAGTAGCGAGAGAAGGGCGGGGAGGGAGAAATCTTCTTAGAGAGCAGCATCTCAGGGTGACTACATCTAACAGTTGTTAAGCCTCATTTATGAATTATGATGAATTGTAAATGACAGAGACATGGAGGGGCTGTCTGTCCTGAGCCTCTGTTGTTGTACCGAGAAGTAGCGGACTCCCACAGGGTCCTGCAGCAGCCGCTCAAAGCAGACGGCCCAACTGGCCACTCTCCTCTCAGTGTGGCGCCGATGACTCTGGACACTGGGCAGGCTGGCATTACTGTTCAGACTGTTGTCGCTGCTGCAGCCCTGCAGCTCCACACTGTTCAGCTCTGTTTATAAAAACAAAACCCAAAACATGACATTAAATCATTGGACTCTTAAAAAGGCTAAAAAAAATAAAAACTAGAATGCAGAGATGTGCAAATCAATCATTCAAAGAAGAAACTACAGGTGCTGGTCATAAAATTAGAATATCATGAAAAAGTAGATTGATTTCAGTAATTCCATTTAAAAAGTGAAACTTGTATATTATATTCATACATTACATACAAACTCATATATTTCAGATGTTTATTTTGTTTAATTTTGATGATTACAAATGACAACAAATGAAAATCTCAAATTCATCATATCAGAAAATTAGAATATTGTGAAAAGGTTCAAAATTGATGGCCCCTGGTGCCACACTCTAATCAGCTAATTAACTCAAACCACCTGCAAAAGCCTTTAAATGGTCTTTCAGTCTAGTTCTATTGGCTACACAATCATGGGGAAGACTGCTGACTTGACAGTTGTCCAAAAGACGACCATCGACACCTTGCACAAGGAGGGCAAGACACAAAAGGTCATCGCTAAAGAGGCTGGCTGTTCACAGAGCTCAGTGTCCAAGCACATTAATAGAGAGGCGAAGGGAAGGAAAAGATGTGGTCGAAAAAAGTGTACAAGCAAGAGAGATAACCGCACCCTGGAGAGGATTGTGAAACAAAACCCATTCAAAAATGTGGGGGAGATTCACAAAGAGTGGACTGCAGCTGGAGTGAGTGCTTCAAGAACCACCACACACAGACGTATGAAAGACATGGGTTTCTGCTGTCGCATTCCTTGTGTCAAGCCACTCTTGAACCACAGACAGCGTCAGAAGCGTCTTGCCTGGGCTAAAGAGAAACAGGACTGGACTGCTGGTGAGTGGTCCAAAGTCATGTTCTCTGATGAAAGTAAATTTTGCATTTCCTTTGGAAATCAAGGTCCCAGAGTCTGGAGGAAAAGAAGAGAGGCACTTCATCCACGTTGCTTGAAGTCCAGTGTAAAGTTTCCACAGTCAGTGATGGTTTGGGGTGCCATGTCATCTGCTGGTGTTGGTCCATTGTGTTTTCTGAGGTCCAGGGTCAACGCAGCCACATACCAGGAAGTTTTAGAGCACTTCATGCTTCCTGCAGCTGACCAACTTTTTGGAGATGCAGATTTCATTTTCCAACAGGACTTGGCACCTGCACACAGTGCCAAAGCTACCAGTACCTGGTTGAAGGACCATGGTATCCCTGTTCTTAATTGGCCAGCAAACTCTCCTGACCTTAACCCCATAGAAAATCTATGGGGTATTGTGAAGAAGAAGATGCAATACACCAGACCCAACAATTCAGAAGAGCTAAAAGCCACTATTAGAGCAACCTGGGCTATCATAACACCTGAGCAGTGCCACAGACTGATCGACTCCATGCCACGCCGCATTGCTGCAGTAATACAGGCCAAAGGAGGCCCAACTAAATACTGAGTGCTGTACATGCTCATACTTTTCATGTTCATACTTTTCAGTTGGCCAACATTTCTATAAATCCTTTGTTTTTATTGGTCTTCAGTAATATTCTAATTTTCTGATATGATGAATTTGAGATTTTCATTTGTTGTCATTTGTAATCATCAAAATTAAACAAAATAAACATCTGAAATATATGAGTTTGTATGTAATGTATGAATATAATATACAAGTTTCACTTTTTAAATGGAATTACTGAAATCAATCTACTTTTTCATGATATTCTAATTTTATGACCAGCACCTGTAGTAGAGTTTCAACTTGATTAGTAAAGATCAGTAATGGACGAGTCAGTTACTGAAAACATCTACTTTTCCCTGGCATCAGTCAAATTAATCAAACCTTATTAGAACAGAAACTATGCAAAAAATATTATACCTTCATGCATAAAACAGGGTAAATGCTGTAATTTGTTGTACTGTAAAGACGGTGCATTTATATACGGTAAAAAGACAATAGAGATATAGACACGGCTACTTCAGAGCGCTTCAACATAGGACTAGCAGGAAGCGAGAATTAAACTCACAAGTATTACATTGGAAGACTACCCTGCTTTCTCTTATGGTGAGGGTTGAAATCTAATGACATCAAATCTTTATAATCAACAGTAAGTAGAAAACAGAAATCTGACCTATGGAGTGCTATTCAAACCATGGAGTCAAACCCACAATTTCGGACTTATGAATAATTTTTTATCTATCTCAAAACAAGAGGAGCCTTGGGTATTTTTTAGCATCATACTAGTCAAAGACCTCTGTATAGTTATGATCAACATTAACAAAAAATCCTTACACCTGTTTTAAAGACCAATTATGATAGAAATCCTACATCTTTTTGGTTGTTTTTGGTCTCTAACTTGTTTTATTTTCTTTCATCCTGCAGGGAATTTCCAGCCTTTGAGAGAAGCAGAGTCACAGTGGATCTCATTAGTCATCAATGTGTCCCCTGCCAGTCTCAGAGGACAGGTAGAAACCTGTCCTCTGAGACGGTTTTGTTCTTTGGTTTCTCTTTTTGCAACAAAACACCCAGACGCAGCACTTTCAGAAGTCCCGGTTCAAACCAGGGTACATTTATTGCTCACAATATCACACACCATCAAACTGAACTAAAACCTCATCATGAGGGGCTGTGGTTCACTGTCACGCAAAATGCTACACAAGGATTCCCTGATACTGTTGAATAAAAAGGAATAAGATTGTTCCTAATACACTGTGTTGCAGAGAATGCGGTCCTATCAGTGATCTAAATTAGACTCGGAAGAAAAACTTAAAATAAAGAGAAAGGTCTTTTTCTTCAAGCATGATCTGTTTGATAAACTGAGGGTGTTAGATGATCCCTGCAGCTACCTGCAGATCAGGTCAAAGCTTTTACTATCTTCAGTAAAGGCTTAACACAACAGAGCTCTTTTGTTTTACTCTTGGTGATTTTTTTTCTCAGTAAATCAAGCAATATTCCTCTAACAGTCAATAGAGAATATATTATGCTTAAAATACTGAAAGCAAAAGAGAAAAATGTCTTTTTTTGCTCTTTTCATTAATCTGTTCGTAAATCTGTCAATATGGCTCCATCACACTGACTCATATTAAAAACAACTATGATTACATCTGATGCAGACCCAACGCCCTGCTAAAGTACCCAATGCCCCTGAAACTTTTTACAGATTCTGTCACGTTTTAACCACAGGATCTAATGGATTGAATTGTGTTTGTATGGTTGAACCACTCAAAAAAAACCTGACATGCATGTGTAAGAAACATGGTAATTAGATTTCACTGCTATTTTGGAGGCAAATGTAAAGAATTTTAAGTTTCGGAACCAGAGTTAAAAAAATTAAAATAAAAGTTGTATTTTCTATTGATTTCATAGCTATGAACTACTTTCTGTTTGTCTACCAAATAAATTTAAAATGGGACACAGTAAAGCTTGTGTTTGTACATTAAAACATATCTAAAAGGTATGCTTTGCCAAAGGTTTAGTAACAGACCCAAGATAAAGCAATTCTGCAAACTGATTTAATATTTAAGCCAAAGAGTTTTCCAAATCAATCCTTGCTTTACTGTTCTTGGGAGAGTCTTGATGAATCCAGGAAGGGCTTATGTTTCCCACCACTATACGGCGATTTGTCCATGTTCCTAACGTGTAGCTGTGATCAGGAGGCAGGGAAGAGGCACAGAGGGGAGCTGAGAATAACCAGTAATGAGCTGCAGGCCAGACTAACATAAGCGGCCTGCTATGTTGAGATAAAACTAAAAGGAAGAACAGCCAGAGGGAGGACAGCAGTCAGGTGCCCTGAACAACGCAGATCCAGTAAATGAAAAAAAAAAAAAAAAAAGCGAGGGTAAAGAGGGGAATTATGCCCACAGCTAAAGCCTCTCCGATTAGAAACCCCAGATTGGGAAAATCAGTGGATAGTTTCAATGTGACTTATGTTTTTACTCTTCCGCTTCTTTATCACTGACAGTTTTCACATTGAAACTTTCAAATCAGTTGCACCAAATGGAGATCTCTTCAAGGGCAGATTAAAAATAAACTTCTAAAACATCTACTAAATATTAATGAATATTTATCACTGTGTATAAGGAGAAAACATTCATCTGTGTAAACCTGTCGGTGCTGTCTAAACCAAGTGCTCTGCTCAGCGTCACAGAGGCCATCACAGAGACAGCCTGATAAAACAAGACTCTCAAAAGGTCAACTAGAAAATACATTAAGCAGAAATCTTAAAAACAAAGCTGTATTATTTTGTTCCATCTTAGTTTATCGTAGCCAACAGCTAATTTTATTTTTGGCCACAGAGCAAAGAATCCACAAGGTTTCATGACAGTCTGCAAATTTGTGGGTTTCCTCATTAGTGTATAACTCTTTCTTAGCAGCAGCTCCTCAGAAAGGAATCAAGATGTATACAATCTTTTTGCTTGCAAATGTTTGTCTTTAATGCAGTCGGATCATTTAATCATGGTCATATCGATATCACTTCTTATATTTCTACTCAGCTGCGCCTTGCAAAAGTTCACATAACCTTTGACCTATTTCACATTTTGTTAAAACAACAAACTTCAGAAGATTTTATGAACTAAACCATCACAATGTAAGACATAAACCGCCAACTGGAAATAAATGAACCCAACAGAATATGTGCAACTGTATGTTTGCAGAAAACTTTTGACTCTCCACTGGAGGCTGTCTCTACAAGCCTACGACATGAAAGCTGTGTCCGAATGTCCGTCCTAATCACTATATATGCCACTATATAGTGGTTACACCATTTTAGATGAATGTTCGAAAGTATAAAGGATGAAAAAGTAGTGAACTTGAAATTTCCCACAATGCACCTTTAAAAGTAGTGATCACCCATGGTCACTAGACGAGCAGATATATCCTAGAAATTTTTGGGAGGAGAGCTCTCCTTGCAAAGCATCATGGGATTTGCTGTCAGATCGGCTGTCGCCTATGGCTGACCCTACCTGACAACCTGACGCGGAGAGGCAGATCTACGAGATCAACAGGGAGTGAAAAGTAGTGATCATCTGTCTGAACAGTCAGTTAACTGAGTTCACTATAACGTCCACTATATAGTCCCCGCTTTATATAGTGATTGAGGAATCTAGGGGTTAGGGCGGTTTAGACACAGCCGAAGATTTTAAATCATAAAACAGCTCAGAAGTGATCAAAATGTCTTCAAACTGGACCAATGCGGCCTTCAGGTGGTATCATAATTATGGTAAATACCAAAAAACAACATAAAAATTGCACATGAAGAACCACAAAAATTGTAGGATACCCGAGTTGCTGCCATGAGGTAAACTTTGACCTTTCAGCATGTTGGAAAGCAGAGAAATGATTCTGTATGGCGAGTATGTCATTGTTCTCTTGTGTTTGTACCCTACACAATGCTCTGATGAACATTTCTTTAAACAACATTTCCACTTAAACTTGTGTTGTTTAGATTTTATCAGATAGCTAGCAGTCTGTTTGGGATAGCAGCCAGCAGGATTTGATCTGTAGTGCGCCCCAATGACCACAAAATGTTTTGGAACTAGGAGATGACCCTATAACTGTTTTGCCCAAGTAGCAGGTCAGGATAATCTTTGGTTCCAATATGTTCCTCTTCGGTACCCTAACAAAAGCACTTGAACACAATGCGCTGGTATTTCAGTTTTACAAGTAGAAAGAATCTTTACCAGACCACGTGAAGACAGCATTATTCTTGACCTTTCCTACACATGAGCATCCCGTCATCCAAGCCGCTCCACCATAACTCTGACTGCAGGTTTACGCTCGTTCTCCTACAGCGATCCAAACTTCCACCCTCAACTCAAGTCTTCTTTGGCCTCTAACAAGTTTTTGACCAGTTGTGGTCTGTATTTGAAGTCATCCATCGTAAACTACGAACAGGCACCCAAGAAAAGCCTCCCCACCTTCCACCAGAGGGATGATCTGTTAGCTTCTCGCTACCCGATGATCTTTGTCCTCTTCATGGCTTGTTAAAAACAGCAATTCCTTTGGCTTTGTCTTACTTTACAAATAAGAACCACTTGTTTTAGTCTTTCATTCAAAATCCAGAAAGAACACTACATTTTGTATTTGTAATTGGACTGTAAAAAAATAGATAAATAAATGGGTATGAACAGTTAATCAAGGAAAAGATGTTTTAAGCCTTACAAAGAAAACTGGCTGACTGAGAAAATGTTTGCAAATTAAATCAAATGACGGTTCTGCTTAAAGGACGAAACATTGACAAAATATGTAAGGTCAGACCGCAAAAAGGTAAGAAGGAAGATTCTGGTCCACATTTTTAATCGTGCCCATCAAACTAGACCACTTAAATCATTTATTGGAAAGACATTTACTGTACTGTACAATATTTAATCATCACCTACAGCAATAGCTTTCCTCCTTATCCTCAGTCAGTGTAGTAACTCAGATATTCAATACCACAGTCTCCATCATTCAGTACGTTTTATTGCCATTTCTTACTCTTGAGATTTTTTCTCCAGCCTTCAGAGCTCCTGTTATCCTCACCTGGGTATAGCTGGTAGGAGCCAGTGTGGTGCCAGCGGGGCAGGTATCGAATCCTTTGGGGTAACCAAGCCCCTCCATCCATAATCCCTCTATCAGGGCCCCTCCCCACTCACAAGCTCAAACACACCAGGCTGAGCAAACAGTCCAATAAAGGGCACAAACAGCTGACATCACTGGAAGGAAGAAACTAAAAAGAGAGGGAATAAGAAGGTGTAGAGAGTTGCTGCCGTTGGTTAGCAACCTGGACGACAACCCGAGGAACCGCAGAGAGAGTCATGTCGCACTATCGCACACACACACATGCATGCACGCTTACACACAGGGCCAAGCGTCCAGCCAGGTAAGTGATCCAAGTGCACACAGGCCTCAATATAATAAATAATTCAGAGTCGAGGGAGGGGACACTAAAGCACAAACACAAACTCACGATATACAGGCACACAATTAAAGCGCAGTACTGATGAAGGGCTTGTTTAAAGGACGCTTTGACGAGCCCTTTAGCCTTTACATTTTTAACTCCTATCTGCTCCTATCCTATATATGTTAATAGATGAAACCCCAACAGAGTGCATTCACATGGTAACTCACAAGGAAGTGGGCCTTCTGACAACAGAGCTTCAGAAATACCGGTACTTGTTTCTAGATCAGTTTGCTTCAGCTGAAGAAGGGCAACCCTATTCCATACCAATTTTGCTCCACACTTCTATTCATGGGGGCCGATAACAAAGCATACATCTCTCTTTTGATTGCTCCTACCTTTTTTGATATATTTACAAGGATGAAAATTTATAAAAATTGTATTTCTAATGTATAATTAGATTTTATTCTAGAAGCTTTTCCAAACAATTCATTTGATACTGCTCAAACAATGGTGCTGCTGATCCTCATTTGGGTTAGATGACTAACCAAATATGACTGATTGTAATGCCTGATAAAAGCAAAGTAAGGCTGAGTTAACTTACTCTGGTAAAAATCATTTGACTTATTTAAAGAATGCTCTTTGGAGTAAATGAGCAGCATATACGGAATCACTTTTGATAGCGAGCTAAAGTAGATATGAAACAATGCCTTAGCAGTTCCAAATGTGAAATGTTTCTGATTTAGATTTTGCCAGCCAAGAAACAACTAAAACTACAAATGGCTGAATGGTAAAAGGGCTGTACTCTAAGGAAATCTAAAGCATCAACATCCTTCTAGCTTTATACGAATCAAAATAAATCAGTTTGTCACGAAACAAAAAAAGGTAATTTTGTCTTTAGTTGCATTAAAGCAGATCCTTTTCTCTCGCAATCGGTGTCTTATACACTGATTTACTGAGGATATCTTCACCTCTTGTTAAAATGCCAACAAATCTAGGACTTTGCATTGATTGCAGCTGTTAAAGAGCAGACAGAGGTGGAGAAGAAGCAGAGCAGGTTAAACCAGAATAACTGTACAGCCTGAGAAAACAATCAACAGATTTACTGTTTATTCCCTCACTCTCTGTGCTTAGAAACATCAAATTTGCTTTATTGCTGCACCTAAACTGACTTGAAGGTTTAAATTGAAACCCCTCTTTAAACTGAGCTTTACACTTACACCTTCAGTCTGCTTGGAATAATTAGCAGTCTTTGGAAATTGGAATAGAAACTTAGGTATGCACAACAGGAAGAACAAGGAAGCTCAAAACACGCAAAGTGGGCCCACATGACTGGAAGCAGTGAGAGATGTTGCTGTGCAAAAAACACAGCACAGACATCTACAGATTTGTATATAAAACGAGATGTTTCCTGAAATCTAACTACCAAGAGCCATAAAGATGAGGAGAAAATATAATGAAAGGTGATCAGATTTTAAAAGGTACATGTACTCACCTCCATCAGAGACTGCAGCAGACTGAAAAGAGAAACACAGAGACATGGGTTAGAAGTGTTCCTTGGCCCAGCACTAACACACATTCAGCCAGTCCACCATAGTCTGTTAGGGCCATCAGACAGCTGCCCAGACATGCACTCTCAGCCACAAGCTGACTTCTACAGGCCGGGTCCCGTCATCGTTTATACTTTCACTCCATAACAGGTAAGTGCCCACATTCATTGTATTCAGAGTGGGTGGAGTCCTCTGTGAACAGGCTGTGCCTGCTCTGCAGGGAGACCTCATCTCTGTGGGGGCTGGGCTTATTGTGTTTTAACTAAAAGAAAAGGTGAAGGGGGTGACAATGGGGGTGATTTAACAGTGGGGTGAGATGTTTATCTACAGGCGCATTAATTCAATTCAATGTACTCATGTAGAGAGGAAAAAAACTAAAACCAAATGCAAAACAAGTGAAACATTAGCAGGTAGAAGAGAGTGCGACAACTATGTTTGAATGGTTCACCAGATTTGGGATAAGGACCCAACTGGGGGGTCTTAAATCAACAATGATCCAGCTCTGAAAACCAAATAAACAACAAAAATACAGTAGTAAAGGATATTTAGGTTGCAGACTGAACCAACAGTCTGGTTGTTTCTAAAGTTAAACTCTGCTCTAACATCTACTCTGTTGCAGGAATCAAAACTTCAGGTTTCCCTACTTTCCCATCTGCCTTATATGGCTATATTTAAAGGCTTCCTTTATATTATAGACTTTATGAAACTGGGGGGAAAAAAAGGCTTTTTAAACAACTACTCATGTACCAGCTAATGTTTCACATAAGTTAACATTCAGCTAGATGGTTGGGATCTTCATATTTGTCTGTTTGACTTTTTTACCAGTCTGTCAGGTTCAATGGGCTACGCATGTTTTTTTTTTTTTTTTTTTTTTTTTTGTCTAAGAAAGCATTTATCTATAGGCGTAACAAAGGAAAATAAATGAGACACAACTTTCAAAACTGTTTGAATTATGAGTTTTCTAATACAAACCTGTGAATTACATCAGGGGACTAATTTTTGCATTAGTGAGGTTATGTTATCTGAGTAAAATGAACCTGTTAGCTTCAAAGTTCAAGTTCCAAATACATTATTGTCATTCAGAGGTTTCCAAACTTTTCCATTCCACCCCCCCAAACAATGTTAGCAAAATGTCCATAAGAACGGAACAAAAGAAATTCAACTTCTCTTAAGTGCGTGTGTAGTTGGGAAGGTCTGTGCTCAATCTCTGTCATCTTATTGACACATACACACATCATAAACTAGCTGTAGATGTGCTCTATGTTTTGTTATAAGTAGCTTTAAAATGAGAAAAGCCAGACTCAAAAGTAGGTTGATAAATTGGAATCTTACTTAAGATTTTGAAAAAGCAATAAATACTTTTTTTGATAATTTGTTACTGTGTTTTTGCTGCAAAAAATAGTGTCCCACTTCCAATTAAACATGTGCCACAATAAAGTGTGTTTGAAAATCTGAAACACACATCACCTCGACTAACTTATCAACTTTGGTGGCTTTTTCCGCGGCGCGCTGGTCATGTATTCTCCTCATGATAGTTTGCCTTGCAGGTAGTTTGTAAGATGGGTCACCTGTGGTCACCTGGTGAACCAGCTTGAGCCCATCAGCCACGCAGCTTGTGGCTATTCACTGAGCGAGAGGAATGATTAGCTTGGCTGATAAAGCTGTGCTTATAGCTGCATCCATGTCAGCACGTCACGTTTGATGTGGTAATTTCACAGCAAACCTACAAGTTTGCAGACTGATTCGTTCTCGCCCCCAGCTTTACATCCGCCTTAAACTATCAAGGTGAAAGTCATCATTAGCATAGAACCAACTCCAAACCCAACTGTGAAAATAAAGGCAATATCATTTTTATTGCCTGATGCAGATAAAGGCCCACCACTAATATATATAACATAAAGAGGGGTAGTCTCCCCTCTTTTTACCTCCAAGCTTGAGCCCTCTACCAGAAGCCTGGGAGCTTAAGGGCTCTGCGCAGTATCTTTGCTATTCCTAGAGCTGCACTTTTCTGGACTGAGATGTCTGATGTATTTCCAGGGATCTGCTGTAACCACTCCTCAAGTTTGGGGGTCACTGCCCCAAGTCCCCTAATGACCATGGGTCCCACTGATGCCTTGACCTTCCAGGTTTTCTCCAGCTCTTCTCTGAGCCCCTGGTATTTCTCTACTTTCTCAAGTTCCTATTTCCTGATGTTGCAGCCACTTGGTATTGCTATGTCAACCACAACGGTTTTCCTCTGCTTTTTTTCCATCACCATAATGTCCGGTTGGTTTTCCATTACCATTCGGTCCGTCTGTATTTGTAAAGGGCTGGTTATACTCCCGCAGCAGTGTGTGACGCAGACATTTTTTGATTTATGCTAAATTTTGAAGTGTGGTCCGCGCTGTGTAATTCCACGCCACAATGCAAGAGGGACAATCACAAACTGGCCATGGATCGAGATATGGCTGAGGCGGTCACAAAGTGGGAGCAATTTTGTCCGACAACGGAGGGACATAAGGGCGAAAAAGAGAGGGGATCCAGGTGGAAAAAGGGTCCCAGTGTTCTTGCACACCTCACTCTTTGGCAGTGGTTTCCTAGCAGCTATTTTACCACACAGATCTGATTCACACAGTCTCCTCTTAGCAGTTGTTCTAGGGATGTGTCTGCTGCTAGAACTCTGCGTGGCATTGACCTGGTCTCAAATCTGAGCTGCTGTTAACCTGTGATTTCTGAAGCTGGTGACTCGGATGAACTTATCCTCCCCAGCAGAGGTGACTCATGGACTTCCTTTCCTGGGGCGGTCCTCATGTGAGCCAGTTTCTTTGCAGCACTTGATAGTTTTTGCGCTTCAAAGTTTTGCCAATTTTTCAGAATGACTGACCTTCATTTCCTAAAGTAATGATGGCCATTCGTTTTTCTTTACTTAGCTGCTTTTTTCTTGCCATAATACAAATTCTGACAGTCTATTCAGTAGGACTATCAGCTGTTTATCCACCTCACTTCTGCACAACACAATTGATGGTCCCAACCCCATTTATAAGGCAAGAAATCCCACGTATTAAACCTGAGAGGGGACACCTGTGAAGGGAAAACCATTTCAGGTGTCTATCTCTTGAAGCTAATCAAGAGAATGCCCAGAGTGTGCAAAGCAGTAATCAAAGCAAAAGGTGGCTACTTTGAAGAACCTAAAAATATAAGACATATTTTCAGTTGTTTCACACTTTTTTGTTAAGTATATAATTCCAAGTGTTAATTCATAGTTCTGATGTCTTCAGAGTGAATCTTCACTTTTCATAGTCATGAAAATAAAGAAACTCTGTGTCCAAACTTTTGGTCTGTACTGTATATCCATCCATCCAACCATCCATCCATTTTCTTACATGCTTGTCCCAAATGGGGTCTGTACTGTATATTATAAATATATATAAAAAAACATATGTGAGCATATTTATAATACACAGACACTGTGCATCCTGGTGATTTAGAGCATTTGCAAAATATGGAAAATACATGGAAATGCAATATTTTCCTACCTCTAATTAAATATATGACACAAATGCAAACGTATTCCTATGCTTGCTTTCAAGCAGTCCTTCCCTATGCTTATGGATACAGCTGATGAGTACTTCTTGAAGTATTTAGTGTTGGATTCAGCATATACTGGAATGCAATGACTGTTATATGTGTATGAATGCTGGTTTGGGAAAAAAACATGAAGTGGTTTCTTTATTTTCTCCAGAGCTGCATAACGTCTGAACTTAAAAAAAAAGAATTAAAGCTAATTAAAACCGCTTACAGTAGGTTCTCTGCTTGTAGAAACACATCAGTCTGCATGCTTTGAGGATTGTGTGTTTGGGTTTCAACAATAATGATAATAATCTTTATACAAGCCTCAGTTCTCATTAACCATGATGTGAATAAAAATCTAACTGTTATTTTTCTTTTAGCTAAGCAAGAGTAAATTCTCTTTGCCTAAGAGCCATTGTGACTGTTTATTTTTTAAATTAAAGTTCATTGTTGAGTTCAGTAAACCAATTAGAGACAGGCTATAACTTTTAGCGTTTTCTTTTTACATACTTTTATTTATGCTTAAAACAAGTCCAAATTGTGCACTTCTGTTCCGAGATGTTTTGTGCCCTATAACCTCTGTTACTCAGAAATAACCAACACACATCCCTTCAGCAAAAAAACAAAAACAAAAAAATCTGACAGGTTTGACATAGTCCGTTGGTAGGGGTGTTCCAATTCAACTTTTTTTCAGATTTAATACCAATATTGAAGCTTTGAGAATTGACCAATACCAATATTGACACGATATGCTTTTAGCATGAATCCTGCTAATGTTTATTACTTATTTTATACTGTAGAATGATAGAAAAGGCTTGATCCAATAATAACCCTAAAACAGGGAACAAAAGTTAAAGAGACTCAGGTTTCTCTGGCTTTCTCCAGAGGTCTATTGGCTTAGACCTCTTAGACCTCTGGAGGACATAGGGACTCCTTTTCATTATTCTGTTTAATTCTATCTCTATCCTCCTAGATGTTGGAGCTTGGCCTTTTTTCAGTGTAGTCCTGGTTCTCTGACTGTGACTAACTGTATGTGCTCTCTCATCCTCTGACATTGATGCAACGAAGAGGAATCTGAACTTAAGCAGTGGATCCATGTTATGTCAATGACATGACAATTTACTAAAGAGCCAGCAGCTCTTTCAAAGATTAGCCAATTTCTATGCCCTAATAACCATCAGCTGTGATGGTGACTGTGCGGGCAGTAGTACTACATTTCCCTATTTAAATACTATTGACATTGGTAGTAGTACCAATGTCAATAGTATTTAATATATGTTAGTTGTTAAAGCAAATCTCATCATATCCGAATATGAAGCATCACACAGCTATATGTCCTTATACACAGACTGTCCACGTCTTGTGGTGAGCCACACAGACTGGCCAAGAGAGCTCGATCAGTGTAATTAGACGTATGA